CATAGCCAGCTGCATGTACCAGGTTGGCCCAAGTCTCATCTGAAACCCCGAGGTGGGGGCTTCTTCGGACCAATCTTGCATTGGGTAGGGGCAGCCGGAGGCGGCGGAGTTGTCGTGGCTGGCATGGGGGGTGGCGGAGGTGGCGGCCGAAGAACTCCAGGAGCTGCAGCCTTCGAAGGTGCAGCTGCAGCCTGCGAAGCTGCCGCCTTCCAAGCTGCAGGCTTCGAAACTGGCGGTGGTTTGGGTGGCATTGGTTGCCTCGCATCCAAAGAGATGCAGCAAAAAGTAGCCTTGTGACCCAGCCAGTGCCCTGTCAGATTTCTGCAAATCCTGTCCAAGTTTCGCAGTTCCACCGTGCTGGGCTTGTAGTGCAGGAAGAAAGAACACAAATCTTCGCCTTGACCAATCCTTCGAATATAGTCTGGCAAAGGACAGCGACCATCTTGTTGGATCCAATCTGCCACTCCAGCAGAATTGTAACCCACGGGAATATTCTTCAAGTAAAGCCTGTAGGCCATGGCTTCGGCAAGGTGAAAGGTGAGACAGCACAGGTTTTGTGCCACTGCCCTCTTTAAGGTTGAGAGTTTAGAGGTTTGGGTTTCGGGTCTTGTTCGGTTTGGGGGTTGAACAGGGGTTTCGGGTTTCGGATTTAGGGTCCAAGGGTTCAACGGTCCGGGGTTTTCTGGGTTCAAGGTTTCTGGTTTGGAGCATATGTGTGCGATTGCTTGGGCACTGTGTGGGCTGCAGCGGCCATGCAAATTTTGCAGAGCTTCCAGTAACAATGCTGTTGGAGGGTTTAGGGTTTAGGCTTTAGGGTTTAGGGTTTAGGGTTTAGGGTTTGCTTTGTTGGACAAAGTAACGGTGCAAATCGGCTTGCAGTAACTCTCTATTGGAATAACCAAGCCAGACTCTAGGGTTTAGGGTTTAGGATTTAGGGTTTAGGGTTTAGGGTTGGGGTTGAGGGTTGAGGGTTGAGGGTTGAGGGTTGAGGGTTGAGGGTTGAGGGTTGAGGGTTGAGGGTTGAGGGTTGAGGGTTGGGGGTTTGCTTTGTGGGACAAAGTAACCATGCAACTCGGCTTGCAGTAACAAGGCTTTTTTTCAGTAACCAAGCCAGACACAACAAACACATGTCAGTAACCTTAGATAACTCTAAACCCTTAACCCTAAAGCCTAAACCCTAAACCCTAAACCCTAAAAACCCTAAACCCTAAACCCCGACAACCTGTTAAACTCTATAAGACCTCAACCCTAAGCCCGAAAAAAAACGAAGCCACACACAAGCGTGTGGTGCCAGTAACCTTATAGATTCAAGCACTGGGGCAGGGGCTTCACTGGATCTGAAACATTGTTGTGTTTGTGCCCTCAGAGCCAGGCTTTAAAGTCTTTGCACTGTTCTTCCAGCTGTACAAACAGAAGCATTGAAACGGAAGCAGCCGCTTTAAAAACACACCTCGTGCAATTCTGCAACAACACACTGTACACACACAGAGTCTGCACAAGGGAACATAAAGCACAAGGGAAGATATTTACACACACACACACATGTGTGTTTGGGCCAAAACCTTTCTATAGCACAAAATATCACTGGCTGGGAGCAATCTCACCTGACTGGACTTTCAAGCTCCATGCTAATCTGGCAGCACGACCAACCTCTTTAGCTTCCTCCTCAGGCTTGCCTTCTCTCAAAGCCTGTGCAAAAGCTTGGTGATAAGCGGCACTGCTCTTCCTGTGCCTCCAGCTGCGTTTGAATTTTTTTGGCCGAGACTGTTTCTTGCTAACAGCTTTGGCCTTGGCTTTCGCTTTTTTCTTTGGAGTCGCTTTTTTCTTTGGAGCAGCTTTGGCCTTGCCAGCCTTCGCTGTGGCCGATTTTTTCTGCTTTGCTGTTTTTGGCTTTGTAGTGTCGACATCCTGCAGCATCCATTTCTCGAGCTCTTCGCTTTCCCTTTCATCCAAAAAATACGAAGCCATAGACCTCCTGAGCTGCTCTGGTGGACTCTGAGCAACATCGACACCAGAAGAAGAAGAAAAGCCAACAGGAACCAGTGCTGCCTGGGAGGCAGAAGAGGCGCCAGGCCCTGGAGCAACCACAACTGCCTCGTCAGATTCCTGTTTTGCAAGTATCCTTTTGAAACAGCTGGCTGAAGCACCCAGCTGCTCTGCCGAGTCGATGGCACAACCAGGCCCTGCCATCTCCACACCGCCAGAAGTGGCAGGAGGAGGGGTAGGCAATGCATCGCTCGAATTTCCGGCACTAGCCGGAGTTTGCACAGGCTCCAGAGACAAATAATAGGTGACCTCGTCCACAATGGCCTTTTCTGCAGCTGATGCTTTTTTAGTAAATCGGGTGTAGCTTGCAACATCCTTCTTCAGAGTTCTGTACATACTGCAAGCAATGCGAATGTAGTCATCTGTTGCATCGTAGAAGCTTGAATCTGCCATTCTCGAAAAGTTGAGTCGATGATGCTCTTGAGCAATCTTGTACAGAGCTCCCTTGAGCTTTTTCGAAGCTATCACCCCATTGGGACACACTTGGAAAAGCTTGGAGCACAGCTTGGCAACTGGGGAACTTGAAAGCCAGGACACATCGGGCGCACTCTTCCAACCTATTCTTTTCGAAGAGCTGGGGAAAATCAGATCTTTCAGATCCCAACTGCCTGTCTCCTTGCACAGGCTTTCAATGGGTTTCATCAAGTCTCCAATGCCAACTGAAGGGTCGGGTCGTGCTCTTGCCATGGCTGCAACAGAAAGCACAGTCGAGACGACAAAAAACCTCTAGGTTCGTGTGTGTGTGTGTGTGTAGCAGATGGCTTACCCGTGTGTGAGTGTGTGTGTGTGTGCACCTGCAGCCACAAATAGCACCATCACAATGCCTTCCCACCCTTCGAAAGCACAACAACACCATGTCGAAAAAAAAACCCACCAAACAGTGACAAAGCAGTATAACCACATGTGCCTCACTCAATGTTTCCAATAACCATGTTCAGAAAGGCAACCGAGTAACCATGCTCGCACAAAAGCACATCTTCTGGTTTCTACTAACCATGTTCCCAAGCACGTGACATGCAATAACCACATGTGTGCATGCTCACAAAAGAAACCCAAGTAACCATGCTCACAACACACGTCATTCACAAGGTTGAGGTTTGGGGTTCTGGCCTCAAGGTTTAAGAGGGGTTGGGTTTTCAGGCCCAGGGTGCCGGTGTCAGGGGCTTTGAGGATCGGGGGAGAAAGTTCAGGGTTTGAGAAATCACAGTTCAGTGTAAAAAAATCGTTCCGACACACAAAACATTAACTTTTCAACAACGGGTGAGCTCATGTTATGAACTTTTTTGTAAAGGTTTCAACAGATTACCTCTTTTTTGCCCTCAAAATTAACTTATCTTTTAACTTCAAAATTAACTAATTAGGCTATTTGCATTTTAACTATTAGTTAGGATTTTGTCTTTTGCCTAATAGTCAGGATTTTGCCTTACCCGATCTATTGGGCATGGTGTCATGGGCAGAGTTGCGCGACAGCGGGGCCGCCGCTGCGTGTGACATGAATCGAGCCAGGAGTCTGACGAAGAGTGATCCAGCAGCTGGGCTCAGTTTGTTGTCCGTCATCCACAAATATCCACAATCTCATGGCCTTTTCCAGCAGTTATTTTGAAGCTTTGGGCATCCAAGGTCAGCGCCCTGCAGAGGTCTGGTACAGTCTTGAGAGCTTTCGCCGTTCCCCTGGCGATGAAAGCCTAGAGGTCTGTTCTCTGCCGCCCTGCCACCGATCACTTCAAAGCACAAAAACACAGACTGGCTAAGTGAGAAGAAGGCCTGGGTGGTGGACTGCAGGCTGTGTTTGAAAGCCTGGCTGCGAGTGTGGAGGCATCAACTAGCACATAGACAGCTGCAACAAGCACCCTAGAAGCACGTGAATCACGTCTTCTTAGAGAAAAGCATGGTTCGGCATAATTTCGGCATAGTTATGGTACAGTTAGCAGAGCAGCCTCCTCGGCTAGATTCAAACAGCCTTCGCCTCTTGGTCGGCACTCAGCACATCTCAGCACACATCGGCTTTTTGGCGATTGCGCTGAGCTATGTTGTGTAGACCATTGCCAAAAGCAAAACCATCGTACCGACATATCATATATATATATATAGTTCATAGATACATGGTTATTGAGCTTCCTGCGAGTTCATTTTCCTAGGTTGCGAGCCTGTACAGTCGTCTTCGTCAGTGGGAGATGGTGCTCTAGATCCCACTGCCACAGACCTTGAAAATGACATGCCCATGCGCCACCGCTGGTGCCCGGCAAGAGACCCGAGAAGTCGTGGGCGGCGCGCGCCTTCATAGCACTTGGAGCGAAGATCGCCATTAATGCAGCTCAGAGAGCCCAAACCGATGCCTTCGGATCCCCTCACCCGCTCAACACAAGACGGCCCCATGACCCAGTCCCAACACCTGAACAAAACAGAGAAATCATGTTCAGCACCTCGGGCTTACCTGTCAGGGAACCGGCCTCGCTCGGAGGTGATTCTGGAAAGACATCTTGGGTTTATCAAAACAGGGTCCCAGAAACTGCGGTGCTTTTTGACAAGACTGTCCGATCATTCACCTGCTGAGGATTGGACTTAGTCGTTTGGGAGTGTCCTGGGACCCTATTTTGATAAATTGGCCACCTGGCATCATGACAGAAAAGGATTGGGCAGCTTGATCGCTTCATGCCACTTGCCATCTTTGCTGACTCCATCACAGGACAGCCCCGGCGTTTTGCTTTTCTCGTCCCAGCCTGCATAACAAACTAAGAGTGGGTGAACAGCCCAATGGAACGGCTCAATGCTTGGACAATTAGGGGCCGCGTCCTAACTTTGAAACAGGTGTCGAGAAATCCACCAAGATGAGCACCCTGAATCCCTGCGTTTCCTCAGCTCTATCAACCTTAACCCCTGTCAAGCCTTGAAGCCCTATGAGAACTGCGAACTGTACCCCCACTCTCTTCCCCCTTCATAGCTGCCTGTCGAAGGCGCTGCGCTTGCGGCCGGCTCCTCCCGCTCTGGCATCACGAGGCTCTCAGTTTGAGGGAAGTTGAGGGGAATCAAGTTTCAGACATTTAGGGTTTGAGAAGGTTTCGGGTTTGGGGGGAGTATCTGACAGGTTAACGGAGCGAACATCACTTTCGGGCTCTCAGGTGAGAACAGTGGCTAGGGTGCAATGGCCGCATGAGGGCGGCTAGTCGGGAATCCAGCATCTGCCTAAGCATTCCACTTCAAGATACGTGCCAAACAGATCCCATCGTAAGGCCCCTTACTCGCTATGTTCTCAGCATGGTTGCAGCTTCTTTCAACCCTACGTCCATCATTGCACTTGGGACCATGCTCACTCGATGCATCTCTGGCAGGACCCACGACGATCCCCGACTCCGATGACTTGGCAGCTTGCTTGAGGGGCAGATTCGGGTTGGGGTTTTGGGCCAGGCGCGCCGAACGCACACTACTTTTCGTCCTTGCTAGGCCTGCCGGTTATGCAGAACCGTGTGGCGGGACTCCATGCAATAGCCCGGTGCAGGAGATGCCAGTAGCTCTTTGGTCGGAGTGCAGCGCGACCATGAGGTCACACAGCCTGCGTTGCTCTCGAGTCGCCCCTGCCCGCTGCCCAGCGAGAACTCCGAGTTAACCCAAGACCAGGCTTTCGGGTGGAGGTGGTTTTAAGGTTCAGGATGTGGGCTGGTGGGCTTCAGGGTTAACTTTGTGGGTTGTGAAACCGCCCAGATAGGAAGGCCTGTGCTCTTCGTAGGTCTGCACAACCCGATGTTCTCAATCCACAGCAGCAGTAGCAGGAGCAGGAGTAGTAGTAGTAGTAGTAGTAGTAGTAGTAGTAGTAGTAGTAGTAGTAGTAGTAGTAGTAGTAGTAGTAGTAGTAGTAGTAGTAGTAGTAGTAGTAGTAGTAGTAGTAGTAGTAGTAGTAGTAGTAGTAGTAGTAGTAGTAGTAGTAGTAGTAGTAGTAGTAGTAGTAGTAGTAGTAGTAGTAGTAGTAGTAGTAGTAGTAGTAGTAGTAGTAGTAGTAGTAGTAGTAGTAGTAGTAGTAGTAGTAGTAGTAGTAGTAGTAGTAGTAGTAGTAGTAGTAGTAGTAGTAGTAGTAGTAGTAGTAGTAGTAGTAGTAGTAGTAGTAGTAGTAGTAGCAGTAGTCGTAGCAGTAGTAGTAGTAGTAGTAGTAGTAGTAGTAGTAGCAGTAGTAGTAGTAGTAGTAGTAGTAGTAGTAGTAGTAGTAGTAGTAGTAGTAGTAGCAGTAGCAGTAGCAGTAGCAGTAGCAGTAGCAGTAGCAGTAGCAGCATCAGCAGGAGGAGGAGGAGTAGGAGGAGCTGGAGCTTGCGAGAACTGCAGTTTGGGAAACATGCCGCCAAACCTGTGAGGCCCATCACGCATTTCTCTGGAGAGTCGGCGCGCAGAGGCGAAATCTTCTGCTGAGCGATAGCTATGGGCTTCAATCAGTTTGGTGTTGTCTTCATCAATGGCTCCTATGGTGTGAGCTCAAGCATTCCAAGGGTGTGGCTCGTACGACTGCTATATTCTTACTGGTGAGCCATTGCAAGCCTTCACTACCGTGCCGGCCTTACCGGCACCTTACTGCCGAGCAGCATCATCGCAATGAAGAACATTCGCCCAAACTTTAGCACACTTCTCTGAGACTTTTATGAGAGTACTGCTACTTGTATATGTACTGCTTGTATCAGGTGCGGCGGCTCCTGAGACAGGACTCCGACGTGATGGGCCGAGTGTTGTGTCTCTGTGCTTTCCGTGAGAGTTTACGAAATTGAGGCCCTCGAGGGCTTAAAGGTTCGGGCTGCAGGTTTGCACGCAGAAGCCCACCAAGCCTGAACTTGCACAGCTTACCGAGTTTTACCGAGTCGAGACAACGCAAGAGACTCGCCGAGCTTCCAGGCAAGCCCGTTCAGCCCGCTCTTGGCACCGAGGCGTGGTGCGTATGTGCGTGTATGGGAGGGTCAACGTTGAACCTGAGTTTGAGCTGCTGCCAAGTCTGAGAATGGAAGCGGAAGAGATCCGATCGCCGAACATGCAATCGCCCAGGCTTCCCACTCCGCGCGAGATGCTGCCAGCCGACGGCCTGCAAACCGACAGTTGGCAAGCTGATGGTCGGCAAGCCGACGGTCAGCAAGCCGATTTTCGCATTGAAGCCGGTTTGCTTCCCAGCAAGCCGCAGCGCAGAAGAAGCCTAATCGTGGTAGCTATCATCGACTTGCTTCGGGGATCACGTTACATCAAGCGCAGCTCTGATATGGCTGTGAAGGACTTTGTCATTTTTAACTGACCCGAATGTTCCTGAAACTGTGCTGCAATTATTGGCTCAGACTGCGCTTCGTGTGCCAGAATGGCGCCATGGAGGGCGGTCTTTTTACTTCAAGTGGTCGCAGCCTCTGTGCCTCGAGGTACACGATCTGGCTTCCACGGCAATGTCTCCAGGTTGCTGCAGGTCAAAGCGAAGAGTGCCAACAATTGCTTTGAGGCAGATTGCATCGTTGGCAGCTTCTTGGACAATGAAGGCAAGTGCCGTGCATGTGAACCAGGCTACTTCACGCCGCAGGAGAATATGAGACAGTGCCTGGAGTGTGATTCAGGCCGCTTTGCTCATAAAGCTGGTACTTCGCTTTGTATCTCTTGCCCAGCCGGGCGCTTCGCCCCAAGTCCTGCCAGAACAAAGTGCAGAGACTGCCGCGCGGGAAGCTACGCTCCGCTGCCTCAGGCAATCGAGTGTGTCCCATGCGAGGCGGGGCGCTTCACCTCGACGAACAGCAACTGGACGGCATGTCTTCACTGCCCAGCGGGGCGCGTGACGAATCGCACCGGTCTAACTGAGTGCGATGCATGCAAGCCGGGACGAGCCACCCCAGATTCAGAGTCTCGACAATGCCAAGAGTGTGACGTTGGACGTTATTCCGACACATTTGGGGCATCAGAATGCACGACCTGCCGGAGTGGACGCATGCAGAACAAGAAGGGAAAGACTTCCTGTGAGGATTGTGGCCCCTGGTACTGGCCCCCCTGGCCAAAGTCTTCAACGCCGGACTTTTCCAATTGTGAGACCGACATGGAAGCACTTGCCGCGATTGTCGTCGTGTTCCTGAGCACGCTCGTGCTGTTTAACACGCTTGGCAAGGTCTTCAGGTACAGGATCCCCCTGCAAGATGTCAAGCTCGAGGTGTCGCAGAGCAAGGGGCGCTTGATCATAGCCACGCATGGCCCGCATCATCTGGTTTCGTGTGGTTGCATGTGGCACCCAGCCCTTTCGACAGCTGCTCCGGCCGCAGAGGTTACATTGTGTTTTCTTGGTGTGGCTGACGCCTCTCACTTCGCGGAGCTCAGCCCCTGCTCAACCCTTCCAGAATGGTAGAGTCTCAGTATGATGGTCCCCTCGAACAGGCCCCCGAACCTGACAGATACGTTGATCCTTTGTGAGTCCCAAGGAGAAGGAGTCAGGCCGCCGGTCGACCACATCCTTCAATGTCGAGAGCTCCCGAGTGAAGCTGAAACGCACGCGTCAGGTTCCGGTCACCATCTCTGGGAGCGGACACCCTCAATTGGATGCAGATTCCCAGAGCCAGGGCTGGGCCTTTCCGGCAACAGCTGCTGCGACTGCCTCGCTGATTCTCAGCATCGCTGAGAAAGTGCGGCCAAGTTATCCTGTGGAGGAAAGACCTAAGTTCCTTGTACAGGCAGTGACTAGCCAGCACCTCCTACTGCTGGACCGGCATGGCCAACCAGAAACTCGTGCTCTCGAGACTTCCCAAGGCCATCTGCTGGTCACTTTTCCATCCACGCTTTGGGGAGTTTGTTCGCTGGGCGTGCCGCTCTTTGTCCACCTCGTCATGCTGCTGGGTTTGGTGATTGCCCCTGCCTGCATCTTTCTGCAGGAGTTCTTGGAACTTTACGTAGCTACTGTGTTCCAGCCACATTTGGCAAAGTTCTTAGACGTCCTTCGAAGACACTGAGCCAATTACACTTCTGAAGTGCGTGCAGCAGTTCGACACCTTAAATACCCAGGTCGCGCTGGCCTTGATAGCCGGCGCCGCGACAGCAGCTCGATGTGGCCGCAGGACGAAGTTGTTAAGCATCATCAAGCCAAGAATGCTGTAGATGCATGTGTTTGTGTGTGTGTGCGGTTAGAGTTTAGGGTCTTTCTGTGGTCTCCACAAGGACCCTCACACCGTTGCAGCTGAAGCTAAAGCGACACCTGCTGGCTCTACAGCAGGCCGTGCCTGTCCCGCAGGACTGCTCTGCGGCTGTTCATCGCATGTGGCATCAACTGACATCACCCTCGTCGACCCTTTAAGTACATTTGTATACATGGAAACCGGCGTCAATGCTTCATGGACCAGCACGGGAGCAAGTGTTTAGAGCGAGATGGGATTGCAGAATCAGGGTGCCACAGGGTGCCCTAGACGTTGCTTGTGGTCACAGAATTCCTAACATGTGGTCTCAGAGGCACAAACGTTCGTGTAGATGCTAAGCAACCACCTTCTGTCGTGTCAGATGTGTCAGATGCAGGAGTGCCCGCGCGGCCCACAGCGCGCTGTAAAGTGTGGGCAGCTCTGGTGCTTCTACGACACATTCGAGCCTTTCATCCGCAGTCGGACGATGTACTACGTGGTGGCAAACATCATCAAGCCAATAACTCGGCCGGCCCAGCTCTCCTATGCCGAGATGGCGGGCCCGAATCAGCTGCCAGGCTGCATAAGCTGTCTTCTTCGTGATGACTCGTTGCCTGTTCATGCCTAGTCGATGTGAAGCCCCTTGATCCAGCAAGCCGAAGCTCAGTTGCAGCTGCTAGGACCACCTGGTTCGTGTCTCATTTTTGGGGTACACCCTTCTCCCACTTCGTCCAGACGATCTGCAAGCACGCAGATGCAACCGGCAACCTGCACGCTTGTGCCTGGCAGGAAGCGTTGTGATCCTATTGCTAGTTAACGCAAGTTGACTTTTTTGGAGCTTTTGAGGCCTTAGGGTATAATTACTGCGTGGTGTACTGTTTGGGACTACTAACAAGTCTCTGGCGGTTCGCCCGGAGGACATCGCATACTGGATTTGCAGCTTCAGCAACAATCAATGGAAGATCCAAGAAGAGCTGGGGGCATCTTGGGAATCCTCCTCGTTCTATTTGGCACTCAAGAGCACCGGTTGCTGCGGAACAGCTATGGCCCGTGCCCCAGCCCTGCAACGTTAACGTGGCATCCTCTTGTACTCATGTGTAATCATGTGTACTCTTGATGTCAGGTTGTGGATGACCAGGCTATGCCCCTGACACGTGCACCACTGAGCCAAGGAGTTCATCCATGAACATGTGCATGGTCCCCCTGCGCTTGCAAGATGCAGCTGTGATCGTCAGCGGATTGCTGCGTAGAATGTCTTTGTGGCACCGGGCATTTTCAGAGGAAGCCAAGTAGGGCAACCCATTTTGCCCAGCCCCACTTAGGTGCATGGTGCCTCTTCGAGGTATTGCAGACCCGGCTCAAGGCCCGAGCGTCCAAAAACTCCTGAAGGCTACTGGACTCCCCAGATTCCGTCCTTCGCGGAGTCCCGTGGAGCCCAATGGATGCTCCCCCAAACTGAACAATCTTCACCCGTTGCGCTGTAGAGATCCTGCTCCGAGCGCACATGAAAGTCTCTAAACATCGATGAATCACACCCTGCAATGTGCCAACATGCAATCTAGCTTGCCGGCAATCACAAAGCTGAGCGAGCCATTGGGCACTGCTCAATCGTTTCGGCGAGGGCAATGGTCTTGCTTGGCCCCTCGTGCAAATCGGATCGTGAAGAGCGCGCAGGTGTCGACTGTCTTTCAGCAGTTTACGCACACCTGCAAGACAAGATGAGAAACTCAAGACTAGGAATGCAGGACGCGCTTCTTACTCTTCTCCCTGCCCTCAAAAACCCTCGGAGAGCCCTCAGAGAAGCCTCAAAGAGGCCTCAGGGGTTTGGGGGATTCAGCTTGGGAGTGTGGAAAAGTTGGACTTTAGATTGGTTAAGTTTGGTTCGGGCAAACAGCCCTTGAGTCTTTGGGGGGCGTGCGCTGTTCTTGGCAGGAAGATGAGGCAGATGACTTTCACGGCCTCTGGCTATGTACCTCTGCAGGCCCAGCCCACTTTGCTGAATCCAGATTTCCGAATATCAACCCCGACCCGAGACAGAAGCTTTCAATCCAAACGTCATGTGGCCGCCAGGAGTGCTCCATGAAGGTAAAGCCGGGGTGGACGTCGCCATGCGCATCGCCGTGCCTGCAGCTGAAGTTAGAAGCCCCAAAACCCTACAGTTGAGTAGTTCAAAGGGCTCCGGCTGCCAAGCTGTGCAGGAGAAATGCTTCGAGATGACCGATTGAAAGCTCTTGTAAAGAGGAACTTTTTCTCACGATTCTTATTCCAGGACCTGGGTGCTTGAGGTTTTCCTTTGGTAAGGGGCATTCCATTGTCGTGGCGATTTCAGGGCATTCAGTAAGGGGCGGACTCACTGTGGTGAAGTAAGCAGCTCCTCCTCCTGCTGAAAACTCTGGATTCGGCGCCGCCCCCGAACATCCTCAAAATCCTCAGACCATAATGATTCAATCATGTTCAAAATATAGCAGTGCCTGTGCAATCAATACCTCGGACACTGCAAAACTCTAAGACTCTAAGCCCTTAAGCCCTCATCTCCAGGCTTCAACTCATCACAAATCTACAAACGACTTGGACTCGGAACCCCCTCTTAAGGTTTCGGGCTTTGGGGTCGATAGCATTTTTTGGCAGCCCTGTCCCTTTCCTATGAGGAACGGCTGGCAACGCTGCGCTTGGAGGATGCCACCGCTTCTGTGCAACAGGACAGCTGAAAGCCGGGGTTGTTTTTTGTTTTCGGGTCGGTTAGGGTTGAGTGCAGGGTGAAGGGGTGAAGGTTCACGGTTTTGATCTTGAGTTCCGCGTTCAGGTTGCGGGGGGGTCTTGTGGGTGTTGGGTGTTCGGTTCTCACTAGTTTCGGGTCTGGTTTCGGTACAGTGATCCGGGGTTGTGTTCTAGGCAGTCCATGCCCCCCCGCGCGCAACAGGACAAGGATATGATTGATGAGCTCGTGGCGCAAATGCCAGGTGGGGTCTGGCAACCATCCAAACATTCAAGATGCTATCGGTTTCAATGGGCACTCACAGCTTGCTGCACGTTGAAAACTGATGATAGCCGAGAGCTGAACCTTGCAGCAGGGAGTATTTTTCAGTTCAATCATGTTGCGTATATTGTGCAGATGTCAATGTCATGATGCGCACTGTACTTCACAGGTGGCTTCCCGGCAATGAACAAGTTTGTCCGCCAAAAGATTTATTCTGCCTTGCTGGCTATGCGGGAATCGTTTTCCGCAGATTTTAACACCCTGCTGCAATCACTGCATGCAAATGAGAGCCACACGCTCCTGCAGACTCTACACACTCAAGGCAATCAGAGCCCTCATGTTGCTGTGGATATAGCCGCGCAGAAATAGATGAGTTTGCGATCGCTCCGTGCAACTTGTATAGCTTTGTAGAGCAAGGGGCCGGATGGATGAGACAAGTTCATGTCATTCGCTGCTCCTTCTTTGATGCACGAGCGGGCATCTCACTTCCCTCTGCATTGCTGTATCATGTGTGCCTTTTGAACAACATGTCGTGTCTCGTGCCGTGCTGCTTCAGAAAAACACGACTTTGCTTCTTGGGAGTCGCGATAAAATCATGACCGACACGACATGCCAAGCGCAAAGTGCAGAAGTGGTGAGGTGCAGATCTGCCAGAGGCTTTGCCGCCTCTCTTCACGGAGGACTGCCACTGTCTTGTGGAAGTTCGCCATACCAAGATTCAGTAGCTCTTCAGTAGCTTTCCAATCTCTCCAGGAATCTCGTGAGCCGGAATTGCCTAAGCCCTTTCCGCATATCGTGGTGCAGGCAGGATGCTCAGAGACGTAGACCGGAAGACAGATAAACAGCCAGATAGTCGTGTTTTGGTTTCGAGTGCAAGCGAGGAAATTCCCTCGCCAAGCATCCGGGCGAGTCCTGACTCGCAGGACCGGGAACATTAAGTTGTGCAGGCCAGGCCAAAAACCATGATGTTTTTGATATTTGGTCCGAGAGGACGATGCGCCTTCATTCGCTGCAAGGATACATCCCTGCCCGGTCCCATGTTTGTGGAATGCGGGGATCCGTGCATTCCACACGCATGGGAGCGGCACGGCCAATGAATTGAATGCGCATCTGACACGTCCAAGACGTCAGCGAGGAAGACCCGTCGCAAAGTTGTCGGGTCGGATGGTGCTCTGGCACATTCAAAAGAAAACTGCCAGAAGGCATCCGGCCGTTAGCCAAAAGCTGGCAGACGCCTGTGCGCTCGTGGGACACACACACAGACACACCAACTCCCAAGGACGATCTTTCCGAGATCCTGGTGTGATGCTACAGCAAGTGCATCAAACATAGCTCGCCGCGGAAGAACGGCCGCACAGCCAGCACGCGCTGCTTTGCTGTCTCTGCATGCGTGAAATATGCCAATATCTTCGGGCGAAACGCCAGCGCCCGAAGCTTGCAGTCAAGGCTTGTCCCCAGCGCAACGCCGCAACGCTGTGGACCTTTGCATGAAGTCTTTAGCCGCCTTTATTTGCAAGGAGGCTTCGGAGTGTTGGTACATGTTGGTACGACCTTTTAGGGGAGAATCGGAGCTTGGATGTGGGCAGCATCAGTTGAGGTCCTTTCAACTTTGGGCATAGACAAACTACGGAATAATTGGACCCTAGGCGGCTGCCCCGAGAATGATTTCCGATGGCCTGCAGGAGGAATTCGGGGGCGTCCCCACCATTGGGCAGGACTTGGGCCCTGAGGCTGGGCGGCGTTCGTGAAGTTCGTGATGCAGCAGATGCATGACGCCGGGTCACTGATTCAATGTTTGCACGCCTCTTACAGCACTTGACAGGCTAGCGGAGAGATCCTCGGCAGCCTAGGCCTGCCTCAAAGCTCTGCGAGTCTGCGAGAAGATACCTGAAGTGCGTTAGCTGAGCTCCCTGCCCATGGCTTGACGTGTGGTGGCCGGCGTCGTTCGCAGGTACTTGTACCAGTGACTAGAGCGCGATAGGCGCAAGGCACATATTTAGGCACATATTTTGGCACATGTAGTCTCATGGGCCAGGCATCTTGGAGATGCCTTTGGGCCCGCTGCTTGCACCTGCGCAGCCCCCTCCGAGGGCTGTGGCTCTGAGCTCCGCTGTGCGAAGCGGGGACAACGCGACTTGGCACATTGGCACGGTGGGAGGATGCGGAGAAAAACGTCGTATCAGCATGTATCAGTTGTAATTTCTACGCGTCAGAAATCTGTTTCGTCCGCCTTAGGACTGGTATGGGAGCTCGACCAGCGGCACGCCACGGAAGGAGCGTGGCGTGTTGTGGCCAAATCGTCGCGGAATGAAGTTGGTGCGAAATTTTTGTTTTGAAAATTGCAATGTGCAGTTTGAGTGGTGTGTTTGCGAGCAGCTGTTGCCCTCGTGAATGAGAGTTGCTTGTGAGAACCCTTTGGAGGGATTGTAAGTACATGTAGTTGCTGAATTTCTCCGAGGCACAGGAAACTGTGTAGTGGCAGCGCATTGATGAGCTTGTTGGGCGAAGTTCAGCAGCGAAGATTTGGGCAAAGTCTTTTGGCGAAGTTTGTTGTGAAGCTTGCGGCGAAGTGTTCAAGGATGGCTCCATATGGTACAACCTTTATTTTGGACTTTACGATGGTGGAGCTGTCTTTTTTTCCGGCGTCGGCAGACTGACTGACCGTGTTCCGAATTACATTTTTGAATCATGCCAAAAACTTCACTGCTCACTTCTGGGTGCCCCTTGACTGATTGCGTGGCAGCGAGGTACACACGCAGCCAAAACATGCAGTCATGTTCGTCTTCCCGACATGTACCTGCGCAACTTCACTTGCATTAACTAAACCTGCTGTAGGAGGAGGAGGGGCCAAAGAATGCAGCTTGGCCGGCAAAAAAGCAGTTGTACATACGCAGAGCAACATAAAGGCAATGCAGGCCCATACCATCCCGAGGCACCCGATGTCAATGCATTACAAGGCAAAGATTCGCTTGTGAGGCTGTCCCGGCTTCCGAAACCTCTGCAGAGGAGCCCGGCAGAATGTGCCACATGACGTAGTGTCTATAGTCTATACTATACTATACTATACTATACTATACTATACTATACTATACAGAATCTCTTTCTGTGATTTACATGACTGATCACTGCAGGAATAATTTACATGACACCGTTCATGCTACGGCCATGAAGGAGCTTGCATCTCATTCAAAGAACCTTGCTTCAAGCCAAATAGATGTGAAAGAGTGTACAGTCTCCAAGTAGCCCTACTCGATGCAGACTTTTGTACCACCGATGTGGAAAGAAAGATCAAAAACCGAAGCCAGGGCCACCCTGGCTCATTGAATAAAGACGTGGGAGGGCCAGAAGTGTCTGATGAACCCACGAAGTACCATGGGGTTCACAAGCTAATGAATGTGGGGCCAAAAAACACTCTCCCCCCCTTCCTCGTCGGAACGACTGACCGCCTTGCTATTCTCGCAAGAACTGGCGTCAGAAAGCGATCGCGAGCCCACCAAAGGATCTTTTTCTCAGTGGACAACACACTCCCCGCCGGCTTCCCGGCATGTCGGTTCATGCTGAATGATGAGTCGCATGACTCCGCATGACTCGAGATGTGATGTTCAACACCCTGTGCTTGTTGTCTGTGATGGGTGAGCGGCTGGAGCAGACAGAAAACATCTTCCGAGGCGAGCTTGAAGAGAAGCCGGCCGCGGAGCAAGAGCAAAGGCAGCAAGGGCCATATCTTGGTTGCCGCAGTTGTCAGACTTTCGTCACCTGCACATTTGCATGGCCCCAAGCCTTGTCCAGCTCTTGAAGACATTGCCACAGGCCAGCCGCGTCGCAGGCCTGGATAGCTTTTCGAGAAGAAGCATCCAGCGGACTCTTGAGAATATCTTTGCTGGGAGCGCGATGGTAACTAGTTAGCCGTGGCCATGCACGACTTCTGTCCCGGGATTGCAGGTTGCTGAAAACGCCACACCGACCGTTGACGCTGTGCTGGCACCGGGGAGTTCGCTGAGTAGGAGCTCCAAACTTCGGGTCTAACTTCCCGCGTGCACAACATTAAGCCACTTAAACCCTCATTTCTCAGTCTTTTGGCTGCGCAAGGACGGCAGACCACGAGGAAGCTGAGGACACTGAGGAGTTAGACCTGGACGCCCGCGCCTTGTTTGCCCCCCCCTTCTCTCAAGAAAGTTTAAAGGAGCCATATTTGATTTCTGCCAACCCTTGAAAGGAACTGCGAAGAGTTTTTCACAGCGTGGAACCTTGACTTCGCAAACCCTCACAAGCGCGAAGGTGACCCCCTTAAGCCCTTCCATGCCCTTTCGCCTTTCGTAGGGTTCTTGTACACCAAGGCCATGATCCCCTTCAGCGCGCGTGAAAAAGCACAAAGGCGCCGCATCTACTCCGCGATTGGGTGCTCGTGTCATTCGTACCCAGTGTACAAAGGGGCTCCACGGCATCTTGGGAATCTCCGATTGAGCATTGGGCGTAGATCCAGGTGTTCGGCAAAAACACAAGACTTCGCATGATGTCACGTTGTGAGGCTTCACCCGTTTAGGTGCATGAATCAAGCGTTCTCCCGAAAAGCAGCACCTGCACCAGGCAAACATCACCCTACCTCCCTGTGGTCGAGCAGCCGCAGGCATTGCAATTCCCAATGACCCTGAAGCAATTGAAGTAGTTTGAAGATGTTTGAAGCATCCGAAGCGTGGCTTTTCGTGGCTGCGGCCCGCAGGCGCCAATTGACCATCGGAAGCCGAAAGAGGCCAGTCGTGCAAACCCTCAAAGGGGTGCGAGCACTTGATTTTCAAGTTTGTTGTGAAGAGAAGACTGCTCAGATGGCTCAGACTGCCCAACAAGATCCAACAAGTTTTGGGCGATTTTGTGCGGCTTCTGCGTGCCCTGAAGCCACTGCAGGCTGCCACATCCCCGGAGGCCGCTTGCCTTGTGGGGCCTGGGGCATGTCTATGGCAGGCTACTGGCCTTGGCCTTGCCTTGGTCTAGTTTACAGCTTGAAGACCCAGAATCAGCATAAGAATACACATGAATATGCACATGGCCGAAACTGGACCCTCAAACTGCCAGGGCAGCTCCCTGGGCTCCTTGGCTTCTCCAGAAGCTCCCCAGGAGGCCAGCGTTCAGGCCTCAGGCTTCTTTGAGATTGCGCCGAGTCGGCCATCACTCCTTAAGTCGGGTTCGGAGCTGTCGGTGTGGTGCTCCGTCGAGTCGAACGAGAGACAGACCCCCACTTTCGGCCCTCGAACATTGGGGGGAGGGGACTTGCGTGCCCTTCGAGGCGGCTCCCCTTCGGGGGGGGGGCAGCATGCAGAGAGACAGATATAGAGAGCTCACGGAAGCGCATGCAGGGCGCACCCTGTGCGAGGGGGGGCCCTCCGGGGCTCCTCAAGAAGAGCTGTTGGGGCGGGGCGGGGGGTCATGGGCCACGGGGTTGATTTCAGTTAATGTCGTATACAACCCCACAAGATCTCCTCTGCATGTTTACTGCGGACTACCTCGAAACTTGAGTCGCGCCAATTGCGCCGGGGGTTCGCCTTGAAGCCCCGCGAAATAAGAACAAAAGTTGGCCGCAACGCCACAGGCAAAAGGTCGATCACACCGGAGGTCAAAATGTGTCAGCACCCCCTCTCATCGCTGCATCCCACTGAATTACGTGATTTCTCAACCCATCCAGGAAACTCTTGATTTTAGGGTGTGGCATTTTGCGTGGCCATTTATTATTTTGCGGCATGTTCACCTGTGATCACGCTTTAACGTGCCCAGGCTGGGAGCTTCAGCTTCGGTGATCAAGGCGCGGCTACCAGCTTGCTGATCCCTTGCAAGCTCGATAGTCCTGCCGCGGCTCGTATGGGCTCGCGCCTTCTGATAATCTTGGTTTGTTCTGGAGCATCTTGCCTCTCGTCGTGTGCTTGTGGGGGAAGGCCAACATGGCCTTGGCAGTCTTGGTGAGGCAGGGAATCGGGCATAGAAAGCACAACTCACTGGATCACCAGACATCACCAACACGGGAGTGCTCGTGAAAGTTATTTTAATTTTGCCTTTGTGCAGTGCAAAGCGATGGACGCTGGCCTTCTTGCAGGCCAGCCCTTTGGAGGAGAAGTCGGCAAAAGGCACGACAGCGGACTGCGCAGCTGTAACCTGAGGAAGGCTGCCAGCTCAAGCGATCACAGCACATTGGCAGGTGATGTGACCGGATCTTCAGTGAGCCATGTGAGCAAGGCGTCCACCCAGAGCTTTGCAAATAGAACTTGGCGTTTGATTATTTGCACCGGGCCTAGTCGAGAAACTCGGTGAACTGAAGAGCTGCCGGTAGGTTCAGTACATGTTTCCAGGCTCCTGTTCCGATTGCCAGTGCATCCAACGGACAAGGCGTGGGACAGCCATGTATTGGAAGTTCCGAGAACAGCATTGCACACAAGCAGCAAAGTGTTGTAGGGATTTTTGCTTATTGTTGCAGGCGGTGGCACACCAGCTACCAGACCGACGGCAGGCATCCTTCGCGACCTAGGTTCCTCGACGTGAGCATGAGCCACTGAGTTGTGCTATGTTGTGTTCCAAGTTTCACTTCTTGTCAGTTAGGGAAGGGCTGAAATGAGCATATGGCAAAGCCGAGGCCTTGATGAATCGTCTGATGACACGCCGAAGGACAGCAAGGAGGCAGCTGCGAGGGTTGCAGGGCCTTTGCTGCCCTGGAGATTGCATGGCTTTCTTATGCATATTTCTCTCCAGATGGCTGCGAAGACTTGACACACCGGCAAGAGGAACTTTAAAGCAACTGCCGCTGGGTTTGCAGCGAATGAGGAGTAAAATGAGCCAAGAGTGGATTCTTGGTGTAGGCAGGCTGATCATTGACTGGCGCCTTAGGGACCCAGATCAACACAAGCCGAGACCTGCAAAAATCTTGAATACTTAGCATTCTACCACAACATACCACAACGTTACCGAGCCTTGCAAGTCTGCTTGAGCTCGCACACTTGCTACTTCTTAAGGAGGCGCAGCCTGCCTCGGCCTCTTCGGCTTCCCTTGCTTACAAGGCCTGAAATTCGGGTTGAATAAGGGGTGTCAATTGTGTGAAAGTGAAGTCTAAACAGGGCCGGGCCACTGCTTTGCATGGCCTTTGGCAGGCCACGCCCAAGCGCAGCAATCCGCTCCGTGGAGTTGCAGCAGGCGCCAAGCCGAAGTTTGAAGAGTCAGTCTTCCGAGTGGCTCTGAGGAGTTTGCCCACCTTCTTTGTGGCATGTTTTTTTATAAACAGCGCTCAGTGCCGTCAGGACGTGGCAACCTCCTGCAGGCTCGGTATAGCGGAGTGGGCATGACCCTGCACAGCAGACTTGTGCAGCCGTGAATCTTCTTTGCAAAGAGCTGCCCAAGCGCAGGGCTCCACCGACTTCCTTGGCGGTGGCATACCAGGCCTGGCGAGATCTGTCAAGCACCTCGACCACCATCCTTCTTTTTACAAGAAGCGCAAGAAAAGCCAACAAAATTGAAATCCCACAAAGCACTGCCCACATAGCTCAGCTGCTCTGCGTATGACAACGCGAAAGTGAAAAAAAGGGTCGCTGATGCAACATGACATTGCATGACGTGCCTGAATCTCAGCACTCCGGCTGCTCACAGAGCTTCCGGTTGCATGCAAGCCCTGCACTTCCCAAACCCGGCATCCAATTCAAAGTAGCTGGGAGCTGAAGAGAGCTGGTGTCAGGTCTGGGGCGGTCTGGGCCTGGCCGAGCTCTAGCCTCAGGGAGACTTGGAAGGTTGCAGGAAGTTGAGAAACGATGCCGTCCGTCTGCAGTGCACATACAGGCCCTTTATCACCGTCCTACCATGAAAGTCTTGCTCGGTCTCGAGGATGGCAGCTCCGGTGGCGACCAAACCTCAGCAAAATGCTGTTTTCTTTCCAAGCGGTTTTTGGCCAGCACTCAAGGGTTCCAACGTGTAACGGGGTTTCAGTAAATGATGCGGGCGCGGCGGGCGCAGGGTCATCGTTTTTTGGCTTCTGTGTTCGTCCCATGCGACACTGTCGTCGCTCTTGGACGTCATGGGCTCGCCAAATGCGACACTGTCGTCGCTCTTGGATGTCTGGACCTGCCAAATGCGTCAATGCTTTTGGACGTCTGTGTGCGCCAAGTGCGACACTGGCGTCGCTACTGGGCGGCTAAGCTCATATGGTCTCTCACTGTTGGGGTCGTTTGAAGAGTGTAACGTCGCGACGGTGCCGCTCGAGGCCTTGTCATCCTTGGCAGCCCTTCGCCCAAAGTCCAAAGCAAGGCACCAGCTCTTGGAAGATTCCTGCCGAGTTATTGTTACTTCTGGGAAATCTTTGAGCACTTGTGCTCCAGTTCGGCACAGTTGTCTGGTCAGTTTCGCTGGGAACCCCCCCCCCCCGCACGTCCCACAAGCAGAAACGTGAAGGCCAAAGATCGGGTCCCTTCCCGGCGGCCCCATCGACTGGAGCCAAAGAGAGGACTTCAGATGAGTTCCTGGCTGAATTTATGGATAAACTTGGCTACAGAGAGTAGTTCGACCTCTCTCTGATGAAGACCTGTTCTGCTCGAGGTTTCAAAGCAACCGTTCACATTCAGTCAGGAATGAGCTCCGAAAGGTCTGAAAGGTCCCCTTCGTGAGCTTGCTTCTTTCACTTCTGTCGGCGGCCCTTGATGACAAGATGCAGGTGGTGATACTGCCTGCTATAGGGTCGCAAAAAACGAAGTCACAGACCAGCTTTTTTCAGCATTTTGAATCCCAATTCGGAATTGACTTCCGAGTCCAATGCACGTGCAGCATAGTGCGACTATCGCTTCACGACAAATACCTGCCAGGCAGCGTCAGGCTTCATGGAGGGTTCGTGCATTCGCTTGACTTGCCAAGCTTGTTCGAGAGGAACGAGACAAATCTGTGGTATTTTGTTGCAGGCCTAGGCCAGTAGAGAGGGCAGAACCGTGGAGACACGACAAACTTTGGTCACATGTACCTTTGCGCATCATGGCATGCTAGCCCGGTTGAGCATCTTGTGGCCACAAGCTGCGGGGTTTCTGGAATCTGCAAGGCGTTGCGCGGCTAGCTTACAATGGCTCATCGGCACTCGAATTTCGAAAGCCTTTCGTCTCCCTCTCTGCCCAAGAAGGTCCTGCAGGGCTGTCAAGGTAGTGTCCGACTTGCGCCAGTCATATCAATCATATGATGTGAAATCAATGAAGCTGTACCTTCTTCAAGTCATCTTCTAGTGTCCGTGTAGTTTGCCATGCGGATTAGTCGGTGGCTTTTATCAATCCTCAGGCAGCCATCACATGCAGCAATGACGGACAGAGGAACATCTTTCGGAAAGGCCAGGGCTGCATTGCTGCCCGAAGGCACGACACCTTGCTCTCGTCATGGGCGCAAAGTCTACAGGGACAACGCGCCTGCTCTGATAACCCTCACGCCGCCACTGAAAGGAGAATGTTCCTTCATCGACATGGAGATGGAGCTCTATCACACGTAAGCTGCAGTTCAGGTTGTACAGCTCTGCCGCTTCGCGATGAGCTTTTGCAGGAATGCCGAGGCTGGTACTTGAAAGAATGTTTTTTTGGCGGCCGATGATGGAAGGCGCTCACCAACACGACAAAGGAGGCAGAGGAAGCACGGCCACGCAGCCAACACACAGGGAGCTCGCTCCTGAGCATGCTGCGGGGAAAGTCCCCGTGCCTTTGGGCAGAGAGTGTCAATGGGAGACCACAGGCCAGCGCCTGAAGCTTGCGGTGAAGCTTTGTGTGGAGCTGTTCGCTCGGGAGCTGGCCACTTGCAGCAGCACAGTCATGCCGTGAGCACTCGCGAGGGTGCCAACTGAACGGGGCTCATTCTCCCCATGCCTCCTTCCGCGTTTGTGAGCTCTACCAGATAGACGGGTGAGCTGCAGTTCAGGTTGTACAGCTTTGCCGCTTCGCGATGAGCTTTTGCAGGAATGCCGAGGCTGGTACTTGCAAGAATGTTTTTTTGGCAGCCGATGATGGAAGGCGCTCACCAACACGACAAAGGAGGCAGAGGAAGCACGGCCACGCAGCCAACACACAGGGAGCTCCCTCCTGAGTATGCTGCGGGGAAAGTCCCCGTGCCTTTGGGCAGAGAGTGTCAATGGGAGACCACAGGCCAGCGCCTGAAGCTTGCGGTGAAGCTTTGTGTGGAGCTGTTCGCTCGGGAGCTGGCCACTTGCAGCAGCACAGTCATGCCGTGAGCACTCGCGAGGGTGCCAACTGAACGGGGCTCATTCTCCCCATGCCTCCTTCCGCGTTTGTGAGCTCCACCAGATAGACGGGTGAGCTGCAGTTCAGGTTGTACAGCTTTGCCGCTTCGCGATGAGCTTTTGCAGGAATGCCGAGGCTGGTACTTGCAAGAATTTTTTTTGGCGGCCGATGATGGAAGGCGCTCACCAACACGACAAAGGAGGCAGAGGAAGCACGGCCACGCAGCCAACACACAGGGAGCTCGCTCCTGAGCATGCTGCGGGGAAAGTCCCCGTGCCTTTGGGCAGAGAGTGTCAATGGGAGACCACAGGCCAGCGCCTGAAGCTTGCGGTGAAGCTTTGTGTGGAGCTGTTCGCTCGGGAGCTGGCCACTTGCAGCAGCACAGTCATGCCGTGAGCACTCGCGAGGGTGCCAACTGAACGGGGCTCATTCTCCCCATGCCTCCTTCCGCGTTTGTGAGCTCTACCAGATAGACGGGTGAGCTGCAGTTCAGGTTGTACAGCTTTGCCGCTTCGCGATGAGCTTTTGCAGGAATGCCGAGGCTGGTACTTGCAAGAATGTTTTTTTGGCGGCCGATGATGGAAGGCGCTCACCAACACGACAAAGGAGGCAGAGGAAGCACGGCCACGCAGCCAACACACAGGGAGCTCGCTCCTGCGCATGCTGCGGGGAAAGTCCCCGTGCCTTTGGGCAGAGAGTGTCAATGGGAGACCACAGGCCAGCGCCTGAAGCTTGCGGTGAAGCTTTGTGTGGAGCTGTTCGCTCGGGAGCTGGCCACTTGCAGCAGCACAGTCATGCCGTGAGCACTCGCGAGGGTGCCAACTGAACGGGGCTCATTCTCCCCATGCCTCCTTCCGCGTTTGTGAGCTCTACCAGATAGACGGGTGAGCTGCAGTTCAGGTTGTACAGCTTTGCCGCTTCGCGATGAGCTTTTGCAGGAATGCCGAGGCTGGTACTTGCAAGAATGTTTTTTTGGCAGCCGATGATGGAAGGCGCTCACCAACACGACAAAGGAGGCAGAGGAAGCACGGCCACGCAGCCAACACACAGGGAGCTCCCTCCTGAGTATGCTGCGGGGAAAGTCCCCGTGCCTTTGGGCAGAGAGTGTCAATGGGAGACCACAGGCCAGCGCCTGAAGCTTGCGGTGAAGCTTTGTGTGGAGCTGTTCGCTCGGGAGCTGGCCACTTGCAGCAGCACAGTCATGCCGTGAGCACTCGCGAGGGTGCCAACTGAACGGGGCTCATTCTCCCCATGCCTCCTTCCGCGTTTGTGAGCTCCACCAGATAGACGGGTGAGCTGCAGTTCAGGTTGTACAGCTTTGCCGCTTCGCGATGAGCTTTTGCAGGAATGCCGAGGCTGGTACTTGCAAGAATTTTTTTTGGCGGCCGATGATGGAAGGCGCTCACCAACACGACAAAGGAGGCAGAGGAAGCACGGCCACGCAGCCAACACACAGGGAGCTCGCTCCTGAGCATGCTGCGGGGAAAGTCCCCGTGCCTTTGGGCAGAGAGTGTCAATGGGAGACCACAGGCCAGCGCCTGAAGCTTGCGGTGAAGCTTTGTGTGGAGCTGTTCGCTCGGGAGCTGGCCACTTGCAGCAGCACAGTCATGCCGTGAGCACTCGAGAGGGTGCCAACTGAACGGGGCTCATTCTCCCCATGCCTCCTTCCGCGTTTGTGAGCTCTACCAGATAGACGGGTGAGCTGCAGTTCAGGTTGTACAGCTTTGCCGCTTCGCGATGAGCTTTTGCAGGAATGCCGAGGCTGGTACTTGCAAGAATGTTTTTTTGGCGGCCGATGATGGAAGGCGCTCACCAACACGACAAAGGAGGCAGAGGAAGCACGGCCACGCAGCCAACACACAGGGAGCTCGCTCCTGAGCATGCTGCGGGGAAAGTCCCCGTGCCTTTGGGCAGAGAGTGTCAATGGGAGACCACAGGCCAGCGCCTGAAGCTTGCGGTGAAGCTTTGTGTGGAGCTGTTCGCTCGGGAGCTGGCCACTTGCAGCAGCACAGTCATGCCGTGAGCACTCGCGAGGGTGCCAACTGAACGGGGCTCATTCTCCCCATGCCTCCTTCCGCGTTTGTGAGCTCTACCAGATAGACGGGTGAGCTGCAGTTCAGGTTGTACAGCTTTGCCGCTTCGCGATGAGCTTTTGCAGGAATGCCGAGGCTGGTACTTGCAAGAATGTTTTTTTGGCGGCCGATGATGGAAGGCGCTCACCAACACGACAAAGGAGGCAGAGGAAGCACGGCCACGCAGCCAACACACAGGGAGCTCGCTCCTGAGCATGCTGCGGGGAAAGTCCCCGTGCCTTTGGGCAGAGAGTGTCAATGGGAGACCACAGGCCAGCGCCTGAAGCTTGCGGTGAAGCTTTGTGTGGAGCTGTTCGCTCGGGAGCTGGCCACTTGCAGCAGCACAGTCATGCCGTGAGCACTCGCGAGGGTGCCAACTGAACGGGGCTCATTCTCCCCATGCCTCCTTCCGCGTTTGTGAGCTCTATCAGATAGACGAGTGAGCTGCAGTTCAGGTTGTACTGCCTTGCCGCTTCGCGAGAGTTAAAGGGCAGCAACTATTTTTCTATAACATTTAGAGCATTCCTTCGCAAAGCGTCTGAGCATGGGCGAGACATGCACGGAGGGTAGATTGCACGTCTGGTGGCTGCCGAGTTTCTGTTCATGCCCAAGTCTTCAACCACCTTCCAGCTAGCGGGCCATTTGCCAGTTCACCTCACAACCCGCTCGCCACCGCCCCACCTAGACCTTCGTCCAGTTTAAACCAGAACCCAGCCAAAGCAACCACCCCACCCCCCCCCCCCCCCCCCCCCCCCCCTACACGTTTTTCGGAAGCAGGGTGGGGCCTTCGTTCTTCATAAGTAGCCTCTCCAAGATGCCTCTCCTCAGCCAGCTGCGGCTCACAGCCAAGAAGATGAAGGAGCCCAGTGCGGCTAAAGCTCCCCGCGTGCCTTGGATGATGTGGGATGTGGGATTATGAAGAGAGGAAGCCAGGCAAGCCCTTTAAATCCCAGAACATCCCTCATATAAAGCCTGTAAGCCTGACGCCCTAAACTCCTTGAAACCCAGGAAGGGACGGAGTGAAACAGTCCTTTGATCACAGGGAGCGCTTTGTAGATGCTCAGGGGGGTTCAATTCCTGCAATAGAATGTGAGCAGGACTGGTAGATTTGAGCGTTTTAGGGGGCTAGCAGGGCATCAGTTGTCCTTGGTTGTTGGATGAACGCCGGCGGAATGCGCAAGCTCCATGAATGTCGACAGCTCCATGAATGTCGACAGCCCTGATCTTCACTTACCCAGAAGAAGCAGCGTTGGTACTTTGATGGGCTACAGAGCTCAGCGCAGGTAATGACGCTCTACGAGAGACTCTTGGCTCAACACAGCCAGACTCGGGCACGAGCGCTTTGAGTCTTTGAACGGCCGCCGAGGATTCCAAGAAGCTTTTTCAGAAAGATGTCAAGCTGCCAGCAAGGACGGGACACAGTTTCTCATACTGCCACGCAACGAGGTGATTGCTCTATATTTGAAGTGGGAAGGAGGAGGAGTCAGCAGCGGTACTGGCGCCCCTTTGGCCAGCAACAGTTGTTGTCTAAACGGTTCGAAGGCATGATAGGTCGACCCGACCACTCACAGCAAAAGACTTCAGCCCCTCAAGGCGGGATTTCCTTGCTGCTCATGGTGCGCAGGCAGGGCATGGGGGGTGGAGCTTCAAGCACCCGACATACTGCGGCTTATCCCCGGTACAGGTCGAGAAAGCCTTCAAGAAATTTGGGGCAGACGGCAAGTTGCTTGGAGGCGACGGCTTCGATTCGACCGTCAGACTGTTACTGAAGTGTTTTTGCTGACTGTGCGTCTGAAGGTGAATCTGCTCCAGCCAGTGCCTACAACGCCAGGGCCTGTTCGGTCACAGGAGGAATAGAGCAAATGCACAGGCTGAATGTGCGCGCGAAGCTTGTTGTCAGAACACTGGCGAAGGGTTTCATTGGTCACTGAGGACTTCTACAAATGGACCATGCTGCCTGTGGTCCGGGCTGTGGAGGGAGGATCAGGCCAGAACAAGTTCATAAGGCACGGTTCTATAGCATAGCCTGTTGAGAAGTGAAGCTTTCGAAGTCTCGTCTAGAGTCTACAGTGCTCGTACTGCACGCATTTGCACGTCTTTGCACTTGTGACTTGTGTGTTCTCATTTCTGTGTATATTCTGCATTCATCCTTTCATACAGTGATTTGTTCATGCATGAACAGAGTAGTAGAGCAATAGATTGAACAGATTGGTCTGTTTAGATATGTTTCATTAATGTATCAGCACGTGAGAACATAGTACATCAATGCATCACTCACAGGCACGGTCCAGTGCACCTTCAGCGCGAACATCCGCGATGAGGGCTTCAACAAAGCCCTGACCGAGGCAGCGAGGCACCCTGAGTGACAATAGTAAACAGTAGTAAGCAGTAGTCAACAATAGAAACAATAGCAACCACTAGTACCCAATAGTAACCAATAGTATACAATACTGAACACTAGTAGTGAACAATCATAGTGAACAAGAGTGAACAACAGTGAACAACAGTGAACAATAGTAAACATCGCCATCTCTGCTCATGTACACAGGGCTCCAGCTCGACATGGCACAAGGTGCTCGCAGAGCAAGGCTCATCATGGTGCCGTGTGATGTGCGGCTCACTTGGGAGGTTAGATCCCCCGGGCCCGCTCTTCGAGCTCCTCAAGTGCGGGGCTCACGGGGATGACATCCCGCAGCGTGCTAGGATTTGAAGAGCCCACGGATCGCTTTGCTCCGACATTGCTATCATTGCCATCCCCCCTAATTTAGTTTTCTCCTCTGGCAGGTCGGGCATCCAGGACCTGGCGTCGCGGAGCTTCGACGTGGAGACCTTTGACCGCCTGCGCCGGGACTTGGCTGTCCCGGGCTGGGCCGCCCGGCACTGGAGGGTGGTGTGCTGGGGGCCTTAGGATGGGGTGGCTTTGATAACTGCAGGTTTTTGGAGATCAGGTGGAGCCTTTTTAGGGAATGTAGGAGTCAGGGGTCCCCAATGCAGTAGCAGGGGCCAGATTTTGCCGAATGGGTCCGTTCCGAGACCGGTATGGCCTGCGCAGCATGATCGGCTGCACCGGATCATGACTTGGGGGCGCTGTCTGTCTTTCTGCGTGTTCGGTTTCCCCTCATATGTGGGGCTTGGGGCATCTTGGGGCCACCTCGTGAGGGTTTCCCCCTGCTCAGGATGACGAGACTCTTGCTGCCGTCTGTGGAACTGCAGAATGTCCTAGAACTTTGGCGCAGGAGCCGGGCGCGAAGTGGTTCAAAGGTTGTAGTGATATCATCCATCAGCTTTGCAGATGTTTGTAGCAAACTAATTTTGCAGGAGGTCGACGTGGACCCGAAAGGTGCATGGGGTGCGAGTTTGCCCCTTGAATGATCTTCAATGGGACCTTGCAGAGTTTAGGTGGATGAGAGCTTAGGATGTGGACTGCAAGTTTACTGTCCATCACCCTTGCATGAGCCGATGCCTCTCGGAGGTGCACGGAGACTACCCAAGGATGCCGGCAACGTGCTGTTGCAGGCCAGAGCTTTAGAGTTTTGACGCCTTCCAAAAATCTCAACAAAGGCCTGCACACTGCCAACCGTCTCCTGTGTTGTACTCTCCTGTGCTGGCTGTGCTCCTGTTTCACCTCCGATGCAAGACGAATTCTAGCAGCACGACACGCTACTGCAGAGGCGTTCGTGGGTCATGACGTCAAGACTGGTAGCGACCGGGTCTTCGTGGAAGCCACAGGCCTGTTTCCAGAGCATTGCGCTCAGACTTGAGTGCCGAGCCTTTCGGGCATAGAATGCTCACAGGTGTACACTGGCATCTTACCAGAACATGCCGACAAGCAGTAGAATGTGCCAAAAATTGTTCCGTCAAGAGCTGAATAGAAGCATCCGGGCACATGCTGACCGCAGGTCCCTGGCACAGGGTCACGTGGCTGGAGACGAGCCTCCTTCTTGCAAGAAAAGTTGGGGTTTCGGGGATTTTGGTTTTTGGTGTATTGCCGCGATTTGTTCCGGGATGGTTCGTTGCAGAGTACTGTCTGCATCTCACCATGTGGCTAGTATTGGTGTTCCAAGCATGTGTTGGAGGCTGCTCGAGGATCAGAGTTCTCGGTCAACGTGTTGAGGGTGTAGGTCAGAAGTTTGTTGCCTCATGGTGCATCCCAGGCATGATGCAGGTGACACCCGGCTGCAATTGGTTTGGTGATGCTGTTCACAGTCACAGCACGTTGAACACTGCCGGGGCGTGACCCTTCCACTCGAAAGGGGTGCCAAATCAGCTCAACGAGTCAAGAGGTCATGATCAGATAAGTTCGGGTGTCAACTAGAAGAGTCCGGGCCAAGTCACATCGGAAGAGGGACGAGTCAGCTCTCAGATGTGGCTTACTAATCCAGTTTGAATATGCGTGCCCTCTCCTACATCGGGGGGGAGCCTGCAAGATGCCGAATATCAAGGCCTCTTCCCGCCTTGCGATTTCACTTCAGACTTCTCAGACTTCTCTCAGACATCCTTCACGACCTATCATCACTGCAGCAGGGCATTCCGGCCCATCTTTGCCATCTCGGCCCTCGTGGTGACGGCTTGACCCGCATGATCCGATGCTTCTGCATGTGTTACACATGTTAACGCGGCACTGTCCAGCCAAGGATATACGAGACATTCTTCAGACTACGGATGCGAGAGAGGCAAGGTCTTGAACCGAAAGCTTCTCTGTCTCAGCTTTTGCTTGTGCATTTTAGGCAGTCAAGCGCACGCTACGCGTTCCCGCACGCGCCATATCCCACATCCCAAAAGCCCACAGAACCAACCCCGAACCTCTGGGTGGCGAGGTACGGCAGCGAGGACAGCGTCTGGTACAGTCGCTGGCTCGCCGAGGCCTACCTCCGGTGTGCAAGGCGGGTCTCTGTGATTTCAATATCCACTTGCAAGAGCTCATCGCGGTTGGAATGGCGCCATTCACCTCAAAATAGCGATGTCACTTCGGAAAAGATTTGAAAATGTGGGTGCTCTTGGTAAGTGTTGCTTTCATCTAATTCAGCTGCCATTTTCCCAGACAAAGGAAAAGAACCCATGCCACGCTGGTTCGCAGGCTAGTTCACTTGTGAAAAAATTGGCTCGTGTGCGCACGCCAATACAATTCTTTTCACGCGTGCAGTTGTCTTGTTCACTTCGAATCCCTTTTCTTAGGGCCTTACCTGTCAACGGCCCACAACACATTTCTTTGAGGATGTGCCACCTGCTTTGAAGGAGCGTCCTCGCCGCCCAGGAGTCCAAGATGCGAGGTGTGATCATGACAGGCGCCCTGGGAAGCTTGTTTTTGCCGGACTGCAGGGAGCACGACGCCCTGCAATCGTCCCCAGCAGGCTCTATGACCTAAGCCCGCATCATCCCATAATTCACCTTGCGGAATCGCCTCCTACAAATTTGTATTTGTGATTCATGTGCCTCAGCTGCAACTGTGAACAATGGAAGCAGGATAGCGCAACCACTCCGCATCAACCGACAATGTGAGAACAGCTCCAATCTGCTGCGAATGCCAGAGCTTCCGCCTCATCGAGTCAACAGAGCGATCCTGAAGCCTCAATGCCCTCAAATCCCGTATAGTCCTTGAAGTCTCAATCTTCACATGCTTCGGCGGCAGGAAGGCGGACGGGCGCCCTGCCTCTCATGATGTTGCAGGGGATGCCGCGTGGCACAAGCTTGCATCTAGTATGGTCGCTGATCAGCTCAGTAGGGAACAGTGCGTTCCCTGGGTTCCCTAAGTATTTCCAGGTTACTGAGAACCTAGGACTAAGCTACCACAGATACACAGATAGATAGATAGATACATACATACATACGTACATACATACATACATTGCATGCAAACCTATACATACCCATGTGCATATAATGCTCTTGATCGTCTGGTAACCTCAACGAAGAAGCAACTGGCACGCATGTATGCGTCCAAGGCCTCCACAGGCGGATTACAGAAGTTTGCCTGCTCTATGAAGGGCGTTTGTCGGGCTCGTGGATGAATATGATCGGTGCACCGATGTTTTCGTGGCACTCGTGGCTTCCGGGTCTGAGATGTCTATGACTTCCATTCCCAACAAAGGAGAGACCCCAGGTGTTGCCCGGAACCACAAAATCAAACACATGCTGAACCAAACTCCAACACTCCACACTTGGGTTCAAAAGCCCTCCCCTTTTGGCAGCTCCAGGTTCATTCTGAACAGCTTCCGGGACCCGGAAGGCCGAAGTCGTAGCCCTGAGAAGCGGAGGTGCTTCAGTGGCGTAGGTAGGGTTTGGAATGTTATTGACATGTTTGGAGTGATCGGTTCAGCGGTTCAGGGCTTAGAGTCATGATGGTGTCCTGATACTAAGCACTTTCAAAAATCCCGAGCATTTTTGTTTTGATAGGCAAAGCCTTGCACCACTGCGTCCCGGACATGTCTTCACAGCAGGCAAGTCCCTGTGCCTCGGCACATCCTCTGTCACAGCGCACTACTGGCTGAAGGATGCCGGAGCCCAGCACTCAGTGGGGTTCCTCTGCAGTGTGGGTCTCAAGTAGAGCAGGACCCTGGCCTGGATTGACCCGGAGCCAACTGCCTGACTTCAGGTTCCGCCAGAGTTGCTGCCGGTTCCGGCAGGAACCCACGCGCACGAGCTCTCCATGGTGGCGCCCCAAGTCCTCTACAGACCGTTAATAAGCAAAGAGAACTCGTGAGCAATTTCTGATCCTTGAAAGCGACGCAGCCCTGCAGGTTTGCTCCGCTGTACTCGCAGACGTCGATGACGCCGCAGGCAGGGTGATCTCTGTGGGCCAATGCGGGAGACGTCCTCGGTTTAGGGTCTAGGGTGCATGGTGTAAGGCTTTGCGTTTGTGCCGGCACAAAAGTCGAAGATGTCTGAACACATACCGAAGCTATTCGAAAGCTGACTTTGCATTGAAGGCCTGCCGATGTCGCAGGCTGTGGGGCACGCGCTGTACTTCTTATGCTCCAGGCACGGTGCCGCTGTCACGGACTCATAGTAAACAGACACAGCTGGAGGATGTGTGCTTCGGAGTTCTACTCTGCCGTCTTTCATTTGAATGCAAGAACCGGCTGCCCAATCCGTGAGGCCAGACATGGTATGACGGCACACGACTCCGTCCCAACCCCCTTTCCAAATCTCATTACGTACTACAACCACCCCTTGAACCCGAAACTGCGGCCATTCAAAGCCCTGTCCCGTTTCTTCCTTGAGGCCTCAGGGCGACGTGCGCGATGCCGCCCGCAAGGCGCTGATGCCCATGCTCCCAGACACGCTGGGCACTCGAAGCTTCCTAAGGCCAAAGGGGACGAAATCAAGGGTTTTTGTGTGCATTCATTTGTATTTGTTAAGCTTGACTGTATGGGTGTTGAGGGCTGCTGACTGGTACCGCAATGGCTCGACTGGCTGCAGGACTGTGTCGCAGCTGACGGTTCCGCAGGGCCCCCACAAGGTCGAATTTGCGTGAGGAGATCCTTTGTCGACATTTCAGGATGCGCCTGAGATGGTTTGCAGGGGGTTTGGGGATGGGGGTTTGGGGATGGGGGGGGTTAGTTTCCCCGCCTGTGCAGGGAGAGCCGCTGCTGAGCGTCATCGGCGCCGCACGGCAGGACTCCGGCAGTCTCGAGGCTGTTACCGGGACAGCCCGGAAGGGTCTTGGGGCTCTTAACCCCCTAACGACCCTCGAAGCCCTCGCTTCCCCCCAAAATATCCTACACCTGTAAACCCCTGTAGAGACCATGTAGAAACCATTCACTGTTGAACGCCACGAGGCCTTTGCTGCCGTCGTGAAAGAGTTCGGCTTCAAAGGCGGGCTGATGGCCTCTGCTCCTTGGGCTTTAAGTAATTTAAGTAAGGGCCAGAAGACAGTTGCAGAAGATGCCAGAGATTCAGGAGCGCTGTTGCACGAACCGCAGTGAAACAGCTTGCAGCCCCCGGAAAAGGCGACTGCCTGAACTGCAGTCGATTTCAACACTGCAGGCACAAAGGGGCATGAAAGCCCGGCAGCAAGAGCTGCAGCAGCGATTTATTCTGGCAAGTTTAGGGTCCTCCCGAAAACCCCGCGTTCAAACGGCAGCCGGCCAGCGTCCAGCAAATTGGAAACGCATCAGTCTGGATCCGAGGAAGTAGAAGTGCCGCAGAACTTGCTTGACGCAAGTGTGCCTAGTCTGCAGCATGTGCTCTGCAAATCCAACAACAACCACCTGATCATCATCAAATATTCCAGGCGCTGGGGTATACGACTTTTGGCGCCGGTGGCTTCTTCGGAGACTCTGAGAAGGCCTGAAACTGTGCTGCTTATGGCCTATGGCCTAGGGCCAATGACTTTCAGCAATACTTGCAGGCCTGGGACAAGAACGGTTCCAACATCAGCGACTTGCTTGCACGTGCCTATCGGAGCCCGCTGGAACTGCCATCACAACGGTAGCGGCGCAAGTATTTTGAGTCAAAGTTTGCCTGGGACGTCCTGGGACGTTCCCTTCCCTTCATACTTAGCTGCCGAGCCGTTCTAAGCTCTAAGCGCTCAGGCATGGCCATCAAGGTCCTCGTGGTCCATGTCAATGGCGAACGCACCGCCGTGGATCCTGTGAAGACAGGAGATCCAAGCAAAGGCATCTGACAGTCCCTGACAATGATCGCATAAATCGCTTAAATCGCTCTGAAGCCACTCTGCACATGCTTCACATTCTGCAGGCGGCGAGGGGAAGTTCGAAGCAGATGGGCTCATGTCTGTTGAGAGGCCCGGCACCTCAAGATAAGTGCAGGGCAGCATATCGATGGGCGAAGTGGTGGAACAATGTGTCATGTCACGCTGCACGCTGTGTGAGGTTAGACGCTCTCAAAGCAAGGACAAAGCTCATGCAGGAGGCCGAGGCAAGGATTGGACTACTTCAGTCCTGCTAGCGCTTGTTCCCCACGCCCATAGCCCAGACCCAAAAGTACGTGCCCTTTAGCTTAGAACGCCAAAAGCGGCTCTGTAGTGGAGCGAGGCCTTAGGATGATCGCGCTGCTGGTGATGGTGGACCGGGCTCATGCTGTCAAAGAGCATCAAAGAGCCAAAAACCTGGGACTCCAGCGGGCCCTTAAAGCCCTGAAGATCCCGTAAACCCACCTAGGCTGCTTAAGCTCAACCTCAAAGTCCCCCAATAGTTGACCCACGCGCCCGGCACATCATACTCGCAGAGGCCAAGCTGCCAGTGGCAGAGCTTCAGGCGCTCTTCGAGCGGACGTGCTGCCGCTTCCGGGTCGCGTCATAGACGCCCCCGCGCAGGCTCTTAAAGGTTTCCGAATCCTTTTTTGGGATGCCTGCAAAACGAGCTTTAGGGGATTATGAAGCTGATGTGAGCTTGGGCTGCTTGGGGACAAAATTGAGGAAATGTAAGGAACATGCCTTTCGCAGGGCCTCCTACGCCACGTCTTCTCATATCCTCGTCAGCGAGACGATGGGAATCGCTTCTAAGACCTTTTAAGCAAGCTTTTGCCAGCGCATTGAGAAAAGTCGCCGGTGTGCCGCGAAGATGGGTCAGGGTGAGCGGGGGGCTTACTTTGGGACGAGGTTCTACTAAGCCTTACGCCGCAGATTTGAAGCTCCTGGATTGCCAGGTTGCTGCTCACAACCATACTCAATCAGAGCCAGCATTGCCTACACGGTGCAACTGCAGAAGTCCGTGTAGACTGCCACCGCACCGAGCACACACTGAAACCCGCAGTTTCTGTTCTCCAGAGCGAATCCTTAAAACCAGGCTCTTCACCTCATAGTCCTACATCTACTTTACGCCCTGGCTTCTCAAGAGAGACTCAGAGCCGTTTAATAACCTTATTCGGAACAGTCATTATAACAATCGTACTACTGGTAGTCATAATCAGCATAATCATAGTTAGTAACAATAAGGATACCGACTTCATGATTAAGGAATGTTCCGAGTGCAAGGAGCAGCAAGGAGCAAAAATGCTTAAATGCTCAGTCATGGACAAAGGAAGCACGATCAACTCACATACGGCCAGTTTTTTGCAGACTTAGTCTTAGCCGCTGAATGTGGTAGTCACGTCCTGTACCGAAGCTTACTCTTTGCCATGGCGCTCCTCGACGAGGTTGGAGCTGTATCTGCTTCTGGTTCGGTCATCCAGTGAGGAAGCGAATTGCGAAGTCAGTCTGAGTCTACCTGTAGCCGGCACCCACGCAAGCATTTCCAATCCTGAGCCCAGCCTGAAGCCCTTCCATGACAAGGCGTTCGCCTTGGACACGGCACCGCATGCGTTGCCTGCCGTGAGGCCTGTTCAAAGGGTCCCTTCCGATGTATGGATATTATATATAAAGCTAATACAACGATGTACTGATATACTGAAATACAATACGATGCTGTACGGTAGTATTAGCTGGCTACATATATATATATATATACATATATATAGATGCAAACCATATATGTATGTATACGTGCATATTATGAGGCAAAATTGCACAGCGTAAAAGAAGAAGCATAGTGGCTCTTCAGGCTCGCCTCAAGGTGTGGGCGGCCAAGACGCGACGTCACTGAGCGAGGCCGGCCTGCGCATGTCAGTCATTCTGAGTCGAATTGCGGAGAAGTTCCTGATAAATTAGGAGCAGCAAGGCTGTACTGCACTCTGTCAATGAGTAAAGCAACTCTTTCCCTCCCCTGATTTGGAGTGTGAATGGCAAGTTTCAGCACCTCGCTACGTGGCACAGATATATTACGCTCCACGCGACTTGATCCTGGCGTGGCCGTATAATGCTCTGAGGCAATTTTTCAAGGTCCCAATCGCCAACAAATTTACATCTCCCCGCCCTAGCAGATGCTGTCACATGTTGCTGCAGGTGCGCCATCGGCGCTTGCGTCAGCTGTCACCGCTTTGATGGCGGGCGTTGCGGCAAAGAGGCAACGACACCACGATGATATCTAGGAATGTGATTTTCAGATCGCAAATGATATCAGACAGTGCTTCAAAGCGTGGCACTTGGGGAGGGTTCCCGCAAAGGATCAATTTCAGGGCATACGTTGACATAACTTTGCACACGACGCTTAAGTGTTCCATGACCTTCATTTGTGGGTACCTACTTGCATGGCAGAAGCAATATAAATGCAAGGCGATCACTGAATCACGGCGCCCCCTGTACTCCTAGTATCGTCCCGCTGAGTTTAAATGCTAAACGCTCGTCTCTACATATCTCTACATCCCAGCAGGGACTGAAACCACTCAAAATCTGAATTCTAAAGAGAGCACCTTGAAAACCCACCACCTCACTCCAGTGACACGACAAAGGCGGAAGGACGCCGCAAGGGCCACGGCCATGAGGGCCAGAGTCCCCCTCTGAGCTCTCGCTCTCTCCCGCGTCTCTCTCTCTCTCTCTCTCTCTCTCTCTCTCTCTTTCTTTGTCTTGACGGGTTTAAAGGAGGGTTTTTAGGGTTTGTCGGGTTTGTAGAGGGTTTGTGAAGGGTTTGTAGAGGGTTTACGGGGTTTGGGTTGGTTGTAATGAGGCTCACAAACGAGACCCTTCTCAGGGTCGCTCTTTACCATGTTCATGTTCAGCTGATCTTGTTTATAGGCACCTACATGTTGTTTAAGGCAGACCAGGCATCGGAATTCTTGTGACTTCATGACTGTGCAAGTGGGTTTGGGGTTAAGTGGCTCCGGGTTCCGGGCTTGAGTGGGAGGAGTTCAACCACCGTCAGCTCCAGCGCTTTGAAATGTCGCCGCATTCCAAACTCCCCAAAAAAACCCTGGGCCCTTCTGCAGCCATAGCTGAAGCTTTGCCGCCCAGAGTCTTCGGTGCAGTGGCAGTACTCGCAAGGCTGCGGCGGCCTTGGACGAGCCACTCTTCAGCGAGGCACGAAGGGTCAAGCCACAGCTGAGGAGTTGAAGAAGTCGAGAGGGGTCTTTCAATGTCTCTTCAAGACTTGCAAGGAGGCCTGGTCGGACGACGTTCCCAGTGAGCTGAGGGTACAGGACCGAAATGGACCGAAATTATGAGATGTTCTCAGGGGAGGCGTAGAGGTTTGTAGTTGGAGGTTGGGTGCCGGGCCGGATGCAAGAATAACATGCATAGTTAGAGACCCTAGACCCCTCCTAATGCGCATGATTGAAAAGCGAAGGACCTGGAGGTCGGGCAGGAGCTCGTGGGCATCGTGGTGAAGGTGTTGGAGGAGCTGCGGGCTCATCTTTCTTGGCCTCGAGGCGTACGTAGGCCACGTGGCGAAAAAACACCCCACATGGCCCTGAAACTTCCGGGCCCAGGCTCGGATGCTTCGTGGATGTGGGAGCGGACCGACAAGGGCCCTAGACTCAGAAGTTCAAAGACTCGGGTATGCAAGGATATGGGAGGTTATGAGTTGGGGTGGCTTGTGGGGAAGCTGGTGAAGGTGGTTAAGTTGGGCCAAGTTGCCGAAGCATGCGTGCGTTCCGCGGCTTTGTGCGTGCTGCGGGCTGGCGCGGATGCTAAGCTTCTCAGAACCAAGGCTCGTTCATCGGTCGAGGATCTCAAAGGGCTACGTCCCGTTGATTTCAGACGCCGCTTGGATCTACTGGGCATCCCTGTAAGCCTGTGAACTACACCATTCGCCTCATTCTCGAGCCCAGTTGTGTGCGTGCCAATCGGTCAGAGACGTCTGAGGGGAATACTAAGTATTATAGTCGTTCGTTTATAAGTTAAATTAAATGAAAAAAATAAAAGCATAACAGACTTACAATCCTGACTGCTATAGCATGACGCCATGGTCGCCCAGGTAGTGCGGACCGGCCAGACGGTCAAGGCTGGGCGCCCTCCCCCGGGAGCCACGCGAAGGAGTATTTTCGGTTTTTTGTAGCCTGGCCCTCCAAACGCCATCAAATCCCTTCTCATGCTGCGCGAACATCGGTTTCCTCAACTTGTTCAGGTCAAGCTCCAGAACGAGTCAGTGTGTGTGTGTGTGTGGTTTTCGTCCAGGTGGTCTCGGGACTTCGGATGTTTCTTGCGGCATGAGGATAGGCTCCTGGACCTCGAGGTGGTTCAAGGCCCTCAGCACTACGAGGATTTGTGTCGTCTCATAAGTAGCATCCCTATCTGCAGAATGGCTTGCATTTCGTTCTGTACCTTGGCCGGTCTCAACCAGACCTCGACGACTAAACTTGTAGCCAAAAGCACCCAAGCCATCGAGCCACCGAGCCAGCCCAGCAAAGACGCATACTCCCACTGGGAATGACCTAGATCCAAGGAAAGCTGAGCGTTGTGAAATGTTGTGACGTGCAGATATGGGAGAGCTTGATCGTGTTTTCGACAGGCCAAACCCTTAGTGGCAGGTGAACTCGCATCTGGAATTCTTGGGGCGTTCCTCTACGCCCTCTTTCGAAGCCTCTGTCAACGGTTCCCCTTCCCTCTGGTGCCCTACCGGCTCTCTTGGAGGTCTGGGTCCAAGCCGTGTCTCCACAAGGCAGCCTGGTTAAAGCTTTCAATTTAGTCATGCCGGCGCACAACGCCGGGATCCGGGCTCTGTACCCCTCACTTCAGCAGTCCTTGTCGGAGAGCTCATAAGGGGTGCAGGTCGTTGCTAGGAAGCGTGCGCCAGGCCGCCTGGACCTGACGATGGCTCGAGCCTCAGAACGCGTCGTTGCTTGCCTTCCAGCTTTCTGCAGGACCTTTGCCAAGCTGTGCAGCCTATTGAAATTGGGCCCAATCCAAAGCATTTCACAAGCGTCTAAAGGTCGCTAACCCAGTTCGCTCTATCGGAAAGGAACGCGTCGTGCTGAGGTCGATGAGAATGCCGAGGATGAGAGCCTGCGACCCTTCAAAGAGGTCCGGTCCCGGACTAGCTCAGACCTTGCGCAAATGCCCCTCAGTAATGATGCTGAAGCCGGGAATCCCGGTGCACACTGCTGTGTAATACGACTGTAATGGTATTGTGTTTATAGATGCGACTAGGTCAGGGGAGCGTGCTGATCGTTTTGTATATGCTGGAGGAAGGGTTTAGTGAGGCCTCGCGTCGGTATTTTGAGGTCATGTGGCCAGTGTGCCTTGCGTTCTTTGCGCTTCGGCAAAGGCGTACAGGCTGGCGTACAGGATGTTTTCAACCATGAGAATACCTAGCGAAGGTACAAATCTCCCGGACAAATCAACCGAAAATATGCCATACAAGTGGCACGGAGGACCGCACGGACAACATTATGACCGTCAACAAAAGCCCTCTATTTTACATTGTGTTCAAATGAGCGTTTGATACAGCTTCCCAAATGAAATTTGTAAGGAAACGGTTGAATCGTAACGAAACGAAAGGGTGCTCATGGAGTGGTTGCAAAGACCCTAACTTTACAATTTTAGGGGGTCTTCTTGAGCACACTGACTGCACTTTCTGCCAATCACAAAGCGTCCTAAACTCCCTCTCAACCCTTTAGAGGTGGGTGCAGATGAGTGGTTCGAGGCTGAGGTTACCGCCAGGAGCTGAGACTCCATGAGAACTCCATGAGTTTAAGGTTTATAGGGTCCAGGCTTCCCTGGCGTTCCTTCCTGTAGTGTGTCGTGTTGATTTTTTCTGCCTGGTTGGCCTTATCATGTAATGCGGAGAGCGCTCCGCACGCTGTCGCATGTAGCAGTACTTGATCATGTAAAACTTCTCTCAAGTTCAACCAGTTTGAAGCGGTTGTGGAGACCGGGGGAACCTGACTGAGTTCTGGAGGGATCCACATCTGGAGGCCCTTCGACCTGAACCTGAAAAACCCTGGACTTCAGGGTATGTCGAGCACGCGCAGATACACGAAAAACTTGCATTTGGAACTGGGTCCTTGAACGAGATTCGAAGGCCCTTACTGTACGAGTCACTGGGTAGAGGTTGGACTGAACGCTGGGTATCTAGGAGGGGTCATCACCTGCATCGCTGAGGGCTTGAACAATGGCGGAGCCTTCGTTCTAGCGGGCTGCTGAGCTTGATGGCCTTTTTGGGCCAGAGAAGTCAGGCATGTCAACATCCCAATTGTAGAGCCTAGAAGAGCCTCTTCCGTACAACTTCAACTGTCCTTCAATGATTCAAGTCTACGGCCTTAGTCGGCTCTGGCTCAGGTGGAGCCCCCCGGCGGCGGGGACTGGGTGGACGGGTTCATCCCCATCTCCCAGATCCAGGCCTGATGGGATTTTGGGGAGCACAAGCTTATTGGAAAAATAAAAATGAATCACATTCGGGTCTGTCTCAGGAGGGTTTCGTGGAGCACCCAGCGGACGTCCTAGAGGCCGGAGTTGGATGTTAGCTTCGCCGCCTTCTATTGAAATGGTGCAGGGAGCACGTTGAGACTTGAAGATGTTGCCCGCAATTGGACGAGCGCACCGATTCGAGCTCTCTCAGTTGCCCTCGGCAACCAAACAGATAGAAAAAACTTGGGACTTGGAGCTTTGTCTAAAGGTAGGGCAGGTCCCGGACGGGTAGGCATTTGAGATCCGCATGGGACCGGCGTGGAACCGCAAGCTGCTCCCCACAGCAGCCGTTTGGCTTCGTTGGCCCTGCAAGGAATTGTCAGAGGCATGGGAACCGACTGCAGATTGAAAACATCTGTAAGGCTGCAAGGAGCACCAACAAGTGAAGCCATGCCAAAAGAACTTGTCGAGGGGGTGCCAGATGAACGGCGCTCATTCTCCATGCCTCCTTCCGCGACCGCGAGCTTTGTCACGCGGGGAAAGTTTGCAATGTTTCACTTTTTGGCTGTAAAACTTGCTAGTAAGATTGGTTCTTGCATCAACCTAGGTTGGTGGAGGGCACGCAGCAGCTGCTTCTCTGCAAGTCCTCGACGGCCGCCGCCTGAGTGTGATGGACGTAGATGCAAGGGACGCGATTTCTTCATTGAGGTTGTACGGTGACTGGAGTGTCGATTAATGTGGCAGTGCGGGGCAGCTTGCAGTCGCGGCCGAAGCTCAGCCAGAGCTTGGAGAACGTGGCCTTGCCCGGCAGCTTGCAGTCGCTGAGCTTCGGCAGCGATAGTTTGCAACCTGGGTTTGGAGAATGTGGCCTTGCCTGCCGGCTTGCAGTCCTTGACCTTCGGACATTTGTTCAATCAGCTTGGAGAATGTGGCCTTGCCTGGCAGCTTGCAATCCTTGAGCTTCGGCCGCGATTTCAGCCAGAGCTTGGAGAATCTGGCATTGACTGCAGGTTGTACAGCTTTGCCATGCTTTGCCACTTCGCGATGAACCTGCACGAATGCCGAGCCTTATACGTACGCGTAAGAATGGATTTTGGCAGCCAGAGATGGAAGTACTTGCAAGAATGTTTTTTTGGCAGCCAGAGATGGAAGGCGCTCACCAACACGACATAGGAGGCAGAGGAAGCACGGCCACGCAGCCTACACACAGGGAGCTCGCTCCCGAGCATGCTGCGGGGAAAGTCCCCGTGCCTTTGGGCAGAGAGTGTCAATGGGAGACCACAGGCCAGCGCCTGAAGCTTGCGGTGAAGCTTTGTGCGGAGCTCTTCGCTTGGGAGCTGGCCACTTGCAGCAGCACAGTCATGCCGTGAGCACTCGAGAGGGTGCCAACTGAACGGGGCTCATTCTCCCCATGCCTCCTTCCGCGACCGTGAGCTCTATCACGCGTAAGCTGCAGTTCAGTCAGGCTGTACAGCTTTGCCGCTTTGCGATGAATTTGCACGAATGCCCAGCCTGGTACTTGCAAGAATGTTTTTTTGGCTGCCAGAGATGGAAGGCGCTCACCAACACGACAAAGGAGGCAGAGGAAGCACGGCCACGCAGCCTACACACAGGGAGCTCGCTCCCGAGCATGCTGCGGGGAAAGTCCCCGTGCCTTTGGGCAGAGAGTGCCAATGGGAGACCACAGGCCAGCGCCTGAAGCTTGCGGTGAAGCTTTGTGCGGAGTTCTTCGCTTGGGAGCTGGCCACTTGCAGCAGCACAGTCATGCCGTGAGCACTCGAGAGGGTGCCAACTGAACGGGGCTCATTCTCCCCATGCCTCCTTCCGCGACCGTGAGCTCTGTCACGCGGGGCTTGTACAGCTTTGCCGCTTCGCGATGAACTTGCACGAATGCCGGGTACTTGCAAGAATGTTTTTTTGGCTGCCAGAGATGGAAGGCGCTCACCAACACGACAAAGAGGCAGAGGAAGCACGGCCACGCAGCCTACACACAGGGAGCTCGCTCCCGAGCATGCTGCGGGGAAAGTCCCCGTGCCTTTGGGCAGAGAGTGTCAATGGGAGACCACAGGCCAGCGCCTGAAGCTTGCGGTGAAGCTTTGTGCGGAGCTCTTCGCTTGGGAGCTGGCCACTTGCAGCAGCACAGTCATGCCGTGAGCACTCGAGAGGGTGCCAACCGAACGGGGCTCATTCTCCCCATGCCTCCTTCCGCGACCGTGAGCTCTATATCACGCGTAAGCTGCAGTTCAGTCAGGCTGTACAGCTTTGCCGCTTTGCGACGAATTTGCACGAATGCCGAGCCTGGTACTTGCAAGAATGTTTTTTTTGGGCTGCCAGAGATGGAAGGTGCTCACCAACACGACGAAGGAGGCAGAGGAAGCACGGCCACGCAGCCTACACACAGGGAGCTCGCTCCCGAGCATGCTGCGGGGAAAGTCCCCGTGCCTTTGGGCAGAGAGTGTCAATGGGAGACCACAGGCCAGCGCCTGAAGCTTGCGGTGAAGCTTTGTGCGGAGCTCTTCGCTTGGGAGCTGGCCACTTGCAGCAGCACAGTCATGCCGTGAGCACTTGAGAGGGTGCCAACTGAACGGGGCTCATTCTCCCCATGCCTCCTTCCGCGACCGTGAGCTCTGTCACGCGGGGCTTGTACAGCTTTGCCGCTTCGCGATGAACTTGCACGAATGCCGGGTGCAAGAATGTTTTTTTGGCTGCCAGAGATGGAAGGCGCTCACCAACACGACAAAGAGGCAGAGGAAGCACGGCCACGCAGCCTACACACAGGGAGCTCGCTCCCGAGCATGCTGCGGGGAAAGTCCCCGTGCCTTTGGGCAGAGAGTGTCAATGGGAGACCACAGGCCAGCGCCTGAAGCTTGCGGTGAAGCTCTGTGCGGAGCTCTTCGCTTGGGAGCTGGCCACTTGCAGCAGCACAGTCATGCCGTGAGCACTTGAGAGGGTGCCAACTGAACGGGGCTCATTCTCCCCATGCCTCCTTCCGCGACCGTGAGCTCTATCACGCGTAAGCTGCAGTTCAGTCAGGTTGTACAGCTTTGCCGCTTTGCGATGAATTTGCACGAATGCCGAGCCTGGTACTTGCAAGAATGTTTTTTTTGGCAGCCAGAGATGGAAGGCGCTCACCATCACGACAAAGGAGGCAGAGGAAGCACGGCCACGCAGCCAACACACAGGGAGCTCGCTCCCGAGCATGCTGCGGGGAAAGTCCCCGTGCCTTTGGGCAGAGAGTGTCAATGGGAGACCACAGGCCAGCGCCTGAAGCTTGCGGTGAAGCTTTGTGTGGAGCTGTTTCGTTTGGGAGCTGGCCACTTGCAGCAGCACAGTCATGCCGTGAGCACTCGAGAGGGTGCCAACTGAACGGGGCTCATTCTCCCCTTGCCTCCTTCCGCGACCGTGAGCTTTGTCACGCGATGACGTCAATTCAGGTTGTACAGCTTTGCCTTTTCGCGATCAGCAGCACTGGCTTGCTTTGAGCATTCGCGAGGGTGCCAACTGAACGGAGTGTGTGTTGTTTTTTGCCCTCGTGCTTCGCACTCTTTATTGCAGAAAGGTTTGCACCAAAGGCGCTCAGTGGTTTTGGCTGTCATGTTGCAACAAAGGTTCTAGAATCGAGAATCAGTCTCATAAACATTGCCTCCACGCCTCTTACTCAACCATGAGGAAGAAGCTGCGCGCTACTCTTGGTCCTGGTTGTCACGTAGATTGAGCAAGCGGGCCCTTAGCGCAGGTGGGACAGAGAGTCCAGGCCCGCGTGACCGAAGCAGGCGCAAGGCCTGGGTTGACTCAGTCGGGGAAGTAACAAAGTCCCCAAAATATGTTGTTGCCCAGCTTCATGCATTCACGCTCAGCCCGTCATCCGAAAACAATCTAGGATGTTACGCCTGTGAGCCACGCCAAGTTCTGCCAGGCTGAAGCTTTCGATGCGCAAGTTCTTCGCCAGACTTCGGTTAGAAGATCAGGAGCACGGGGTGTACCTCTTAGTGTTTTGAAGACTGCGGTGCAGGTCTCTTCCCCCGTCCCCGAGTCACTCAGGGGAGCATCACGTACCGAGACAGAGAGGACGTATCATCACTGCTCGACGTCTCCCCGGAGACATGGTTCACTGGCACGCCTGCAACCCAGCTCTGCGCGAGCAGAGGTCTTCGCCAGTAAAGGAGCTGCGCGTACCACGAAAAAGTATAAAGCTTGCAGATGTTCACGCTCTTTCCTTCAGGGTGGACCATGCTGCTCCATTTGGAGTGTTTGTGAAGGCACGGATCAGCGAAGTCGTGGGTTGGACTTCAATTTCAACTGTACAGGGATATGCCTGCTGAGCTTGGAGCACACCTCTTGGCTTGAGACAATGACGGCAGTGACAGCCGGCTTCTCTAGGCTTCTGCCAGCTCAGAGAACCTAAACGCACCTTGTGCCCGCAGATTTCCTTCCCGGACAAGTCGGGTGAGGCATGGCTTGTTGTGGAGTGGTGGACACCCTCCATGCAAATCATGCCGCACATGTGCCGCACGCTCTTGCTCATGGTAGGATGAATCGTGAATTCTGCCTTTGCGTCCTTCTCTCCTTCCGAAGTTCCTTGAAGCGATACTGGCGCCGAAACACGATGCAGGGCATGGGCCTTGTCCACGTCTCCGAGATGCGAGCACCTTGGTAGCAAACCCTCAGACCTGAAGCGCCTTCCCGAACTGCAAGCTTTTTAACTTTAACAGAGCATAGAACATGCCAAGTGATGCAAATGTTTTCAGACTCTGTCCGGCCCTTCCCTAGCTCCCCGAGAGGACGGGTACGTCGGGGATCCAGAGGCCGAAGTTGATGCCAGGGGCCTCAGATCTCAGATCTTGGAAGCAAAAGGGTGTTGCATGCTGTATGCCATTGTATGCATGCTGCATGCATGAATCTTATATCTGAGATGCTGGCGTTCTTAAGAATGTTGGCTCAGCCTGTCCAGTGCTTTAGAGGAGGAATTTTGAGTTATGAGAGCACTGCAGCTTGAAGGCCGGCCAGCAGGTCCAAGTCCGGGTGATCCAGGCCACGCAAGGATTGGAGTTTAGGGTTTCGGGCTTGGGGGATCTCGGACATCGCGCATGAGAATTGCGGGGTGGGGGTGCACGGGGAAGGTCTGTCGGGTGCGAGTATGGGGAGTTTGGGGATCGAGTCTCGGTTTGTCGGGTGCAAAATTTTGGATGAGAGCCTGTGCCAGGTGGACCCCGACACGAAGAGGCCTCTTTTGCGGCGGGACGATGGCCCTCTGAATCATTAATCTATGCAGGGCTTAGGGAGGCACAGCGAGCCTTCTTACCAATGCAGCTATCTCTCAGTCATCTCAGTTATCTCTTCCATGTCGAAGTTCGTGGGCCCTCCGTGCAGGATCTCCCTGTCAATGAAGCCGATGCCTGAAGCATACTGACAGTGACAGGGCTGCGCAGGAAACGACCGAGCGAGCATGTCTCAGCATCTGTCGGTGGCATTTATCAATCCTCGGGCCAGAAATCGCACGCCATTGCAGGCATGAAGCGGCATGAGCGTGTCAAAGCACTGGGCTACTAGCATGCTTAAGTCCCCTGTGCCCAGCCATCACATGCAGCCATGACGGACAGAGGAACTTCCACAGGGACCTCGGAAAGGCCAGGGCTGCATTGCTGCCCGAAGGCACGACACCTTGCAAGGTCTACAGGGACAAGGCGCCTGCCTTGACGCAAGGACCCTCACGCCGCCAGAGCACGGAGAATGTTCCTTCATCGACATCGAGATGGTGCAGCACCTTCCTGATGATGGTTTATGTTAGCAGCTAGTGCGTCAAATCACTGGCCTGGAACTTGCGGTGAAGCTTGGTGTGGAGTTTCGCTCGGGCGCTGGCCACTTGCAGCAGCACAGTCATACCGGGAGCACGCGAAAGGGTGCCAACTGAACGGGCTCATTCTCCCCATGCCTCCTTCCGCGACCGTGAGCACTGTCACGCGGGGATTGTACAGCTTTGCCGCTTCGCGATGAACTTGCACGAATGCCGAGGTACTTGCAAGAATGCTTTTTTGGCAGCCAGAGATGGAAGGCGCTCACCAACACGACAAAGGGGGCAGAGGAAGCACGGCCACGCAGCCAACACACAGGGAGCTCGCTCCTGAGCATGCTGCGGGGAAAGTCCCCGTGCCTTTGGGCAGAGAGTGTCAATGGGAGACCACAGGCCAGCGCCTGAAGCGCGCGGTGAAGCTTTGTGTGGAGCTGTTCGCTCGGGAGCTGGCCACTTGCAGCAGCACAGTCATGCCGTGAGCACTCGAGAGGGTGCCAACTGAACGGGGCTCATTCTCCCCATGCCTCCTTCCGCGACCGTGAGCACTGTCACGCGGGGATTGTACAGCTTTGCCGCTTCGCGATGAACTTGCACGAATGCCGAGGTACTTGCAAGAATGCTTTTTTGGCAGCCAGAGATGGAAGGCGCTCACCAACACGACAAAGGGGGCAGAGGAAGCACGGCCACGCAGCCAACACACAGGGAGCTCGCTCCTGAGCATGCTGCGGGGAAAGTCCCCGTGCCTTTGGGCAGAGAGTGTCAATGGGAGACCACAGGCCAGCGCCTGAAGCGCGCGGTGAAGCTTTGTGTGGAGCTGTTCGCTCGGGAGCTGGCCACTTGCAGCAGCACAGTCATGCCGTGAGCACTCGAGAGGGTGCCAACTGAACGGGGCTCATTCTCCCCATGCCTCCTTCCGCGACCGTGAGCTCTGTCACGCGGGGATTGTACAGCTTTGTCGCTTCGCGATGAACTTGCACGAATGCCGAGGTACTTGCAAGAATGTTTTTTTGGCAGCCAGAGATGGAAGGCGCTCACCAACACGACAAAGGAGGCAGAGGAAGCACGGCCACGCAGCCAACACACAGGGAGCTCGCTCCTGAGCATGCTGCGGGGAAAGTCCCCGTGCCTTTGGGCAGAGAGTGTCAATGGGAGACCACAGGCCAGCGCCTGAAGCGTGCGGTGAAGCTTTGTGTGGAGCTGTTCGCTCGGGAGCTGGCCACTTGCAGCAGCACAGTCATGCCGTGAGCACTCGAGAGGGTGCCAACTGAACGGGGCTCATTCTCCCCATGCCTCCTTCCGCGACCGTGACCTCTGTCACGCGGGGATTGTACAGCTTTGTCGCTTTGTGATGAACTTGCACGAATGCCGAGGTACTTGCAAGAATGTTTTTTGGCAGCCAGAGATGGAAGGCGCTCACCAACACGACAAAGGAGGCAGAGGAAGCACGGCCACGCAGCCAACACACAGGGAGCTCGCTCCTGAGCATGCTGCGGGGAAAGTCCCCGTGCCTTTGGGCAGAGAGTGTCAATGGGAGACCACAGGCCAGCGCCTGAAGCTTGCGGTGAAGCTTTGTGTGGAGCTGTTCGCTCGGGAGCTGGCCCTTGCAGCAGCACAGTCATGCCGTGAGCACTCGAGAGGGTGCCAACTGAACGGGGCTCATTCTCCCCATGCCTCCTTCCGCGACCGTGAGCTCTGTCACGCGGGGATTGTACAGCTTTGTCGCTTCGCGATGAACTTGCACGAATGCCGAGGTACTTGCAAGACTGTTTTTTTGGCAGCCAGAGATGGAAGGCGCTCACCAACACGACAAAGGAGGCAGAGGAAGCACGGCCATGCAGCCAACACACAGGGAGCTCGCTCCTGAGCATGCTGCGGGGAAAGTCCCCGTGCCTTTGGGCAGAGAGTGTCAATGGGAGACCACAGGCCAGCGCCTGAAGCGTGCGGTGAAGCTTTGTGTGGAGCTGTCCGTGCCTTTGGGCAGAGAGTGTCAATGGGAGACCACAGGCCAGCGCCTGAAGCGTGCGGTGAAGCTTTGTGTGGAGCTGTTCGCTCGGGAGCTGGCCACTTGCAGCAGCACAGTCATGCCGTGAGCACTCGAGAGGGTGCCAACTGAACGGGGCTCATTCTCCCCATGCCTCCTTCCGCGACCGTGACCTCTGTCACGCGGGGATTGTACAGCTTTGTCGCTTTGTGATGAACTTGCACGAATGCCGAGGTACTTGCAAGAATGTTTTTTGGCAGCCAGAGATGGAAGGCGCTCACCAACACGACAAAGGAGGCAGAGGAAGCACGGCCACGCAGCCAACACACAGGGAGCTCGCTCCTGAGCATGCTGCGGGGAAAGTCCCCGTGCCTTTGGGCAGAGAGTGTCAATGGGAGACCACAGGCCAGCGCCTGAAGCTTGCGGTGAAGCTTTGTGTGGAGCTGTTCGCTCGGGAGCTGGCCCTTGCAGCAGCACAGTCATGCCGTGAGCACTCGAGAGGGTGCCAACTGAACGGGGCTCATTCTCCCCATGCCTCCTTCCGCGACCGTGAGCTCTGTCACGCGGGGATTGTACAGCTTTGTCGCTTCGCGATGAACTTGCACGAATGCCGAGGTACTTGCAAGAATGTTTTTTTGGCAGCCAGAGATGGAAGGCGCTCACCAACACGACAAAGGAGGCAGAGGAAGCACGGCCACGCAGCCAACACACAGGGAGCTCGCTCCTGAGCATGCTGCGGGGAAAGTCCCCGTGCCTTTGGGCAGAGAGTGTCAATGAGAGACCACAGGCCAGCGCCTGAAGCGCGCGGTGAAGCTTTGTGTGGAGCTGTTCGCTCGGGAGCTGGCTACTTGCAGCAGCACAGTCATGCCGTGAGCACTCGAGAGGGTGCCAACTGAACGGGGCTCATTCTCCCCATGCCTCCTTCCGCGACCGTGAGCTCTGTCACGCGGGGATTGTACAGCTTTGTCGCTTCGCGATGACCTTGCACGAATGCCGAGGTACTTGCAAGACTGTTTTTTTGGCAGCCAGAGATGGAAGGCGCTCACCAACACGACAAAGGAGGCAGAGGAAGCACGGCCACGCAGCCAACACACAGGGAGCTCGCTCCTGAGCATGCTGCGGGGAAAGTCCCCGTGCCTTTGGGCAGAGAGTGTCAATGGGAGACCACCGGCCAGCGCCTGAAGCGTGCGGTGAAGCTTTGTGTGGAGCTGTTCGCTCGGGAGCCGGCCACTTGCAGCAGCACAGTCATGCCGTGAGCACTCGAGAGGGTGCCAACTGAACGGGGCTCATTCTCCCCATGCCTCCTTCCGCGACCGTGAGCTCTGTCACGCGGGGATTGTACAGCTTTGTCGCTTCGCGATGAACTTGCACGAATGCCGAGGTACTTGCAAGAATGTTTTTTGGCAGCCAGAGATGGAAGGCGCTCACCAACATGACAAAGGAGGCAGAGGAAGCACGGCCACGCAGCCAACACACAGGGAGCTCGCTCCTGAGCATGCTGCGGGGAAAGTCCCCGTGCCTTTGGGCAGAGAGTGTCAATGGGAGACCACAGGCCAGCGCCTGAAGCGTGCGGTGAAGCTTTGTGTGGAGCTGTTCGCTCGGGAGCTGGCCACTTGCAGCAGCACAGTCATGCCGTGAGCACTCGAGAGGTGCCAACTGAACGGGGCTCATTCTCCCCATGCCTCCTTCCGCGTCCGTGAGCTCTATCAGTATGCGTGAGCTGCAGTTCTGGTTGTACTGCTTTGCCGCGCTCACCAACACGACAAAGAGGCCAAGGAAGCGCCCATGCATCGAATTGCACCAGGGCAGAGCGTGCTGCCACAGAAAGAGAGAGTTGAAGGGCAGCAACTACAACATTTAAAGGCATTCTTTCGCAAGTGGCTGAGCATTGACCTGGTTCATTACTCGTGTTGATACATTCTGAATCATTCTAATCCCTTCCCCCCGAATACCCCCATACACCATATACACCTAGCGGATTGAACGATTCCACAAATTCCATTGCTGCCTGCATGACTGTGGGATTGCCAGCGCATGCGTCGCCGCAATAATCGTCGTCATCGTAGTCGTGGTGTTTGAGTAGTGGTGGTGTTATTCTTGTTGTTGCTTGTAATTGTGTTATGCAATTACTGGCTATTGCTTGTTGCGACTACCACCGAGAACGCAGGCTCAAATTGCACAGCTCAGTCGTTATAGGGAGGTTCTTGCGTGCGCAGTCGCATCGTGGCACTTCCAGGCGCGGCGCACGGGGAGGGGGAAGGGGGGGGGGGGGGGGGGATCTTTCAGTGGCACCCGGGACAGCAATGAGCACTCAAAGCTGAAGGTGCTGGCAGTTGAGAAGTTACTTGGGGCAGAGAAATGCGGTGTAATGCGATGTTGAGGTCAACTTGCACACCATGGCCCAGGTCATCGGGAACCAGGCCCATAGATGCCGTGTGACATACCTTGGGGCCGAGTTCGGGAAGTTGAGAGGGCCTAATCCAGCCCTCATGATGGGGAGCAAGAATATTCATTCTGACTGAGCAGCAAGTCAAACGCATAGGACAGCAATAGCAACATGTAGCGATACAGCGACACCCAATATATAAAAAGCACCCAGAACCAGTCCGAACTTCTTCGAGATCCCCGAGGCTCCGCATCTCCAGGTGGAGGCTCTCTCCGCGGGCTGGGGTCCAGCACCAGATGTTTGTTCAGTGGCTTTGGGTTGAGTTCAGGCCAGAGAGTATATTCGTTTCCGGAATCTTCCTGCCTTTGCTTCCATTTGCTTGTTAAGTCAGAAGGGTCCTTTTCCCACTAGTTCCGGCAGTCCCAGTCCGTACGCCTCTGGTTGCATCCAGTGACGAAATGCCTTCCTGCTCGTACTGTAGGAGGTTGGGCCTGCGTTCAAAACCACCTCCCAATTGTGGACTTGAGCCGCCCCGTTGAATCGCTAACGTTCTGGTTCCAAACCCTCAAACCCTAACACATCGCGTCCGCATCCGAGGGCAGTGCAGCTGACCTGAAGCCCTTCACCTGCAAACACCTGGACCCAAAAAACCTCAGCATTGCGACTTGGCGAAAGTGCTTCAAAAAGTTGAAGTTGAAACTTCTGAACACATCGAGGGCCATAGAGACTCATGTTCACAGAAAGCATCTCTTCTGCACCAAACTCCCGAATCCGAGAAGGTACTGTATCCCAGCGATCCCGGATTCCTGCCTTGAAACATCAATCAGTTCCGGAGGCGCCCATCTCTGCACCGTCCAGTGATGTCGCGGCACAGGCACCGCAACCGCAGGCACCGGTGCTGGTGTTCATGGGCTTAGCCCCTTACAGCCTGAACCCTCTCTGTCCTAGAGCCTTAAACCGGCCTAACAAGACCCGTCGATGCAAGAGCCGGGTTAACAATAAGCATGTTGGCCCAGACATGTCCAACCTGGGCAGGCGACGCGTGCCCAGCCCATGCGAAACTCAAGGACAGAGCACCGTGGATGAAAAATGCCTCCCTCCTGTTGCAACACTGCTTTTCACCCTGACGGAGGACGGTAAGCTTCGCCGATGTGGAGTCGGCAATCTCTCATGAGGAACACACGATAGGCGTCCATTCTCAGCGCCGTGCTCAGCTTTTAGGCAGCCACGTCTTCAACCCCGTGGCAGCTCTCACTTCCTTGCGCAGGTTCACCACCGCAAGTAGGCTGTCCAGAAGGCACAGGGGCAAATGGGGGAGTGTGATGATCAACCCTGCTAGTGGCGGATCAGGCCGAAGCCCTGCACTCCCAGCCCGTAGTGCCTGCATTTGCCGAGCATGCCCCCAATCGCAGGTTCCAGCGCAGTGGGAGGCACGAAGGGTTCCGTTCCCATGACAAGTCTGGGTCGTCAACATGGAGGATCTTTGTGTCCCGACGAGCTCTGATCTCTGGGGAGGTCCCTCTGGCGGTATCCCAGCAACGCAGGACATGTGCCCCGCTACATGCAGAGGACCGTGGTGCGTGGGCGCGTCCTTGCTTGCGTGCGAGAGGTGTGTGGGTCTGTGTGTGTGTGCAGTCCTGATATCTAAGAATTCCATGAATCAAAATAGCAGAGGGGCATCCCCATCAACTGAGCTGGATGCCCAACGAAGGGGACTCAGTTTGATGTCTGATACATTTTGGAGACGTCCAAGTGCGTACGTGTAACTTAGCGATTGAAACAAACATTCTTCCAATAATAAGCCTTTTGTGCGTGTGTGTGCGTGTGTGTGTGTGTGTGTGTGTGTGTGTGTGTGTGTGTGTGTGTGTGTGTGTGTGTGTGTGTGTGTGTGTGTGTGTGTGTGTGTGTGTGTACCTATGTTCTTCCCTCGACTAACCCCCAACTTGCAGGGCCTTCCGCGTCAAGACTTTTGGCCTTCTGGCGCTGCAGCTCCTGGTGGCCCTGTCGATTGGGGCCCGCCTGCCTATGTTTATCGGGGGGTGGAAGGACGGGGGTTAGGGTTTAGGGGCCTTTTGGAGGGCTTTGGGCTAACTGCTTCAATGAGGACGCTGACTGCTTGCAGCCTCGGCCCTTTTGGCTGTGCTTGAAATTGGATGTTTGGTCTGAGCAGGTCATTTACAGTCTCTTGACCTGACCAATTTCCAGGCGGCGATGAGCTATCTACAGCTTTGGAAGAAGTTCGAGGTCCCTTCGAGTCCGGCAATCACAGAGGTCGGGCACGTCGAGTGGGAATGCGTGCAACGCACTTTGCTGCGGGTAAGGCGGAGATATACCGAGATGCCGCAGGATTGGTTCGCAATGTTTCACCATGGTACCATGCAGGTCATCACCTATGCGACCGGTGCGGTCAACTTGCTTTGCGTGCTGCTGCTGCACTTCCTGTCCGACCCTTGCTGCAAGATGCAAATCGTAGTATGAGAGAAGTCGTGAAGGTTTCCGTCGCTTGGGCTGTGCTGGGCTTTGCTGGCCAAGGACAGGTTTCCTGCGAATTACATGCACCTGGGCCCAACAGATGCTTCAGTACACCGGAAGCCGTGTTGCCGAACTTGGTATCAGAGGTTGCACAGGCACCCTTCATTAGAGACCCCAGAAACCTTCCAGGCACAGCTACCTCTGGGAATGCCCTAAGCGCACCCTAGAGACCTGGAGACCCTTAGCCATGACAGGAACCTAAGTCGATCGTTCCGTTAATGTCACCCGGACAGCCTTCCAGTTACCCTGAGGCCAACCCGTAAAGCATAAATGAGCCATGCGTACACTGCGGGTGTGCGCTCCAGGTGCCTGATGCTGACAACCGTAATCTCGGGGATCTTTTGGGGGCTGCAGCTTGGCAAACAAGTTAAAGTGGCTAGATGTCCTGTGTGTTTACAATCCGCTGGCTACATTTGTTTCATTTTGTTTCAAAGTCGTTTGCTGAGCCGGAAGCCCGTGGGGCTGGCGTGTGGCGGCGTCGGTGCTGGCATGAGAGCTAAGGACGCATCTGGCGCCCCAATTTGGAGATGAGTTAGTGCACGTACAGACACCATGCGGCACCGAAGCATCCACTTTTTTCGGGTTTTGCTTACTGACGCTCAGTAGCTTAGGAAAGTGGATCGCCAAGCCCCCCAAAGATGCTTACCAGGATTGGCTTGGTCCTGTGCATCACCATGTTTGTGGCAGCAGCACCCCGGCAACGGGTTTTTCAGAGGATGATTAAGGGGTTTTGCTTCCAGTTTTGCCGCTGTTTGCGTTCGGCTTAGGGGTGCCCAGGATTTCACCCCCGGCTGGAGTCAAGTCAAGGCTGCTAGCCTTCCTGTGGGCGCACGGGGGAGGCCACACACACGCGCGCACGCACGCACGCACGCACGCACATACGCACCCACCCACCCACACACACACACACACACACACACACACACACACACACACACACACACACACACACACACACGCCCACACACGCCCACACACGCCCACACACGCCCACACACGCCCACACGCCCACGCGCCCACACGCGCACACACACACACACACACGGTGTATTGCTAGGGGTTAGACTATCAGGAAACAGCCGAATTCAAGCTCCCTGCCGGCGAAATAGGCAGTCCTCCAGCACACTACGCCCGACAGCGAAACAGCTTACCAAAGGAAGACAAGCAGATGGTTTCAGGTGCTGTCCTACATCCTGGACAGCAGAGAGGAAAAGATGGATGGCTGCAGCTTAGTTGCCATCTGCGTTGGCTCTGGCTACATCTTGGGCTCGCTGACCAATGTCCGCCGCCCAGGGGAGGCTTCTCTGGACAGGCCTACAGTTTACAGATGTTTACAGGGAGTTCAGGATCTTTCGGGTTCATAGGGCCTTGAAACGGGAACCCCCAGTTGAAGCTTGAAATGCGGCCGGCTTAGAAGTGCTCGCGAGTTTCCCCTTCAATGCCAGCAATTTTTTAGGGAGAAGTGTGGAATCACGCATAGGATGATAGGGGTTTCACGCAGAGCTCTCAGAGCTCTCTGGCTTCATTGATGCGTTAGCGCATTGCACCCAGCAGTGAGGTGCTCATCTTCACCCTGGTGCTCGAGGCGACGGCCTTTCAGCTCTTCGGCGGCATAGGCGCGCCGCTGCAGGGCTTCTTAGGGGCTGCCGCTGTTGCCATGTCAGAACCCGAAGTAGGCGCCCGATTTTTCCCAAACGCCGGGGCCCTAGAGAGTCCTGTGTCCATCCCAAAGTCCTTTGGCAGGCTTTGCGCTGTTGCTGCTGGGGATCCTGCTGCTGGATGTCGGTGCTTGGCCAAAATCAGCTGTAGAGGCTGTGAGGTGTTTGAGAGGGATCACCTTTGAGACCCATGGGCTGACGGTCAACTGTCACAAGAGCCACAAACTCAATACTGTCAAAACTCAATATACCAAGATGCTGGGACAAGGTGGGATGCGCGTGAAACGGGGAACTCAGTGAGTTCGCACTGAGGTGGTTTGCTGGTAAGCTGCCTGCCCGACGACTTCATGTGACTTGCAAGCAAAGTTGTCGAGGAAACACATGATTTGATGAGAAGAGTGGTCCAAGTGCATTCTCGAATCGAGGACTGTTATTGTGGCAATGAACTCGACCCTCCTGGTAATTGTGTGGCCCTCAGCGCTGCATCGTCTAGCAGATCTCCAGCAAGGGATTTGTGAGTTCACCACTTGCCTCTGACTTACTTGAAGTAAACAACCTTCCAGCCACTCAGCTGAGGTTAGCATTCCCTTCTTCTTCCTCGGCTTTTGCATTTTGAGGTTGGGGGAGGCAGGGGACGTGCGGGCCTAGTTAGCTGTGGCCAGCGGTCAGGAGAGTCCTTTTTTCGTGGCCGAAGCACAAGCCCCAGGTATTGAACCGTAAGTGTTCGAGGTTCGAGCCGAAACAACAGACATGATGCGCGCAATATGTTTCTTCTCTTGTTGCATATTATGTATTTGCATACTACACTGACAAACTTGGGGTCCTCTTTGAATGCTGGGTTTTGGCATGCACTGCTCGGAACGCTACAGACGAACACCTTGCAGACCCGCCTCCTGCACGAGGGTCACGAGGGGATCAGCTTCAGTTCCGTACAAAGACCCTGACGCCTCAGCATCCCTTCCCGCGAAAATGCGACTTCCACAGGTCGAGGAGCCGGCGCAAGGAGAGTTACCGGAGCCAGCGAGGCTGAGATGAAGTGAACCTTTTTTGCTCATGTTTGGTGGGCTCTGGTCATCTTTGCCCGCATCTCCACGTCGTCTGGAGGCATGGTCGACCGCTTCCATAATAACACTGCAATGACGCCGTGGAGGGTGCCGCTGCACGTCGCGAGGCCATGTTTTTTTTGTCGCAGTAGGGATTCCGACAGGCTTTGGGAGGTTGCAAGGATCACGTTCAGAAAGTTCTGACCCGCTTTGTCCTGCAAGTTTAAGGCTTTTAAAGGGCTTGCAGGGAGGCACAATGGTCGAGCCGACACGGCTAGGATCGGTCAGTGCTAGCGTGGCTTCCCTCGAGCCTGACTTCTCTGGGTGCAGGTGGAAGCGAGTGGCGCTTTCCGACAGGACACACCATTCGTGACTCCACAATTTAAACCTTTTTCGGTGCCACAAGTTGCCGTAAGGTCCCCCTTATTATGCTGATCAACAGCTAGCTTTAACGGCCCCATGTCGGCGGCACTTCTCCAGGTGGACCCCCACCCGGACCCCCACCCCAGATGTTATGATCTTTTCCGGCTGAATGGCGTTTAGTTCAGAGCTTCGCGATCGGGACCCACGCAGAAGACCCGCTGGCATTGCATGAATTCAAGGCAGATGCGACCTGGTTTCGGGCATCGCCCCAGAAACGAGCCGACCGTCTAAGCTGCTCTTGGCGACTACAAATTCCCAAGAGAGCCCAAGTCGGAGCTATCATGAGAGCAGCCGTACTGGAGAAGCAGCCGGAGCTTTCGCATGCCTAGCTAGCTGTTGGCGAATTTCTGGCAGAGGGGGGGAGTATACACCCTGCAGTAAAACCCTAAACTGTCCCAAACTCAACCTTCTGCAACCAGGGAGCACGAAGCCCGATTTTATTTCAGGGCTTTGAAGTCAAACGGAAGTGGTCGCTGAGAGCTTAGGTTGCACCGCATTGGCTTGGCTGTACAGTGCCGTGACATTTGCACTGCTAAATGTTGTGACAAGCCAAGAAGGAGATGACCAAACAGGGCAATGCTTCAGTCTTCTAGAGATTCCAGAGCATACCATATCACGGCTTATTCTCAAGTCTGCTTGTACAGCTTGCAGACAGCCGCGCTTGCCAACCCGGCTTGCCAACCCGGCCTGCCAACCCGGCCTGCCAACCCGGCTTTGCCCGATGAGGATCTGGGCAACAAGGGCACAAGTCCAAAAAAAAACCGTCGCGCAGAATCAGGTTGAATCAAATTCATCAGGGCGGGTCCTCTTCGATCAAATCCATCCCGCCTAAGCCACCCATGCCACCCTTTCAGCTTCGCCTATTTCGGCAATCAGACTTGAAAGAAGTCACAGTCGTCATCTGCACGCCATTTGCTTCGGTCGTGATGGTGGCTCAAATCGGCTCAAGCACGGCGCCTCCTCTGCCGTGATAGCTGCGCAGGTCGCGCAAACTGCCCACCAAGACTTTGGGGCCTAAAGGGCTCCAACCGAAGTCAGATGTGCCGGGCCTTCTTTCATGGCATCTACGCCATAGCACGCAATGGCCTGTGGGACGATCCGGCGGAGGCTGTCACAGGCACTGTCTATACACGATTCCAGAAAGTGGTGGTGGAGAGCCGCAACAACGAAGCTGCTCGGCATCCGCTGCTCCCTCTCCCGCCCTTCTTCTACCCATAAAAAAGTTCTGGCAGGTCCGACTCACGGGCAAAATCTGAGTCGAAACTGTACCGCAGAACAAGAAGAATCCAACAAGAACCGCTCCAGTTGACCAGACCGCACCAGCCGCATCAGTCCGCCATGCTCAGGATGCTGCGGCCTACTTGACCTGGTACCTCGGCTGCACCGGATCTTGGCGTTTTCGTGGCTGTGGCAAACGCGTTCGCCGCGTGACGACTGAGGGCTGGATTGCAGCGTGTTGTAGTTAGTTACTCGTAGTTCGTTTTCGTCTGCTTCTTTGGGATACTTGGGATGCAAGGCGCTTCAGCTACCTGATCTGCCACGTGGTTTTTGCACTGATCTGGGGTGCTGCCAGTTTTGCGGATTGGACCCCGAACAGGACGGGGTGAGCACGTATGAGCACATCTTCGATCCATGACTGCACAATATCCTTGGGTCCTTGACAGCTGCTTGACAGGAACACCTACGACCAAATCATTGCGCAGCTGCCGGCCGACATTCAAGCCAAGCGCTTCGAGACCTTTATCGCGCTGATGTCCTGGTGGGACCCGTTTCTCATGTATGTTTGGTGCATCTCCTTTGTTCTGGTCCTGTGCGCCGTGGTCACCGCAGCGCCGGCGCTGGCATTGAGATGCGCAGGAATATCGCGACGGTTGGTTTGGTTCTCCTGGCTGTGGAACTTCGTGGTGCCTTTCACCGTTCTCCTGATATTTCCACTTCGGGAGACCATCGACTGGACAGGCATTCAGGAGGATCTGTGCGTAGTCGCGGTGTCCCGCGCACTCGCATCTCCGGGGATCGACATGAGCTCGGCACTGGGCAGCTTGCAGCAGCAGGGTCTCGCTGGGCTGGCGACATTGCAATCCGCTGTGCAACAACAGGCTTCTCAGGAACTTACGGGCTTTCAAAAGTACCGCTGCATATGGGGCATGTCCACACCGATCTCTGGAAACTCGGTCCCATGCGCACGCCTTTGGGCCATGCAGTGGACGCACCTAAAGTATCCTAAAGTCCAAGACTTGTTGATGATAGAAGAGTTTTCAAGGTTATGCGCGACGCGCGAACGTTCACGCCTTAGCGGTTCTGCTTCGGACTTCGCATTCCGCTTTGGGGGGTGGTCATGATGCATCTTTATGTAGGACTATACGGGAGTTTTGGACTGGTGCCCCTTCAGTGAAGTAGGTCCGGTGGTCTCCCAACGACCTGTGACAGGACATTAAGATCAACGACGTCCCCGTCCGCACGTGGTGTCAAGAGCAGGGATCGAACTGGCACTCTGTCTTCTGTGACAGCGTCATGCGCTGCGTTGTGATGGCGGACCAGCGTTGCAGGGAAGAGGTTTGCGATGCAGCCCCGGTATCGGAACAAGTGATCTGTCAGACACGTTGCCTGGACTACGCCCAGAGCTCCCAGACAGCAGCAGCCACAGCCTTCACTGACTCCATGCAAAGCGAATGCTCTGATTTCCAGAGAAACCAAAGTTCAGGCCAAAACATCACCGCCGGTCTGGGCGCAGGTATTCCGAGTGAGTGCGTGGAGGCGGCTACACGGCAGCTCCAGCTGTTCAACGCGCTGGCACAACAGCAGCAGGTTTATTGGCCCCCTAATTATGCTTTACCTTGCTTTCACGTTGTTGTAGTCTTTTTGGGAGGTCTAGGATTTCCTGTTAGTTGCAGAGGAAATAGAGGTTTTCCGATTGAAGGGCAGAGGAATTAGAGGTCTTCCCAGACGAAAGAGAGTTTTTCCTGTGAAAATCTTAGAACAACAGAAAGACACAAAGAACGAAAGAAAGATTAGAGGAAGATTGAAATGAGTCATTGTATAAAGAAACACATACCTACAAGCATGTTTTTTGAACATGCAAATCCATGCCTTACGAGGACCGTTTCCAAACCTGTCATATGTGAGGATTGTGTTTTCAAACGGGTGGCGGCTGCCCCCCCCCCCCCCCCCCAGCCCCCCGCTTTGTTACTTTGTTTGAAGCGCTGTAAGCTGAGGACTTGTGAACAAAAACATGCGGGAATCCTTTTCCAAACCCATCACGCGTGCATTGTGTTTGCAACTGCCCCCGCTCCAGACCCCCCCCCGCTGCAGACCCCCCCGCCCCAGACCCCCTGCTTGACTATGAGGAAAACCTCCATGTCCTTTCTATTTCAGGTTACACAGATCTCTATGTCTATGTCCTCCCAATTTCCTCTGTATTTGTTAAAGGTCAACCTGTATCCCTCGGTTTGTGCATAGGAAAACCTTTATCATCGGTATTTTCATAGGAAAACTTTCATTTCCTCTGCAGCTTAACAGGAAAACCGACAGGAAAACCGACATGTCCTCTGCATCTTTTATTGGAAGCCCCAGACAACAAAAGAAGACACAAACCGCTGAGCAAAAAAAGCTGATCCAAAATAATTCCAGGTCAGCTATGAGGACCAATGCTCCTACGCGAGTCTCGCGGTGAATAACGTCGACTTCGTGGCGGGCATCTCGGCTCAGTGACAGAACATGGTGCCTCTCTCTGCCCGAAACCCCAGGCTTTCCCAGGCCGTTTCAAGCGAATCTCAAGACTTTCCCAGCGAAAAGAGTCGTAGAACAAGTTATTGAAAAGCACAGGCTGTAAATGCTGACGCAAAGGTTTGTTGGAAAGGTTAGGAAGCCCTGATGCCAGGCATGTTCGTGGGTGTGGAGGCGCGGGTGTTCAAAAGCTTGGGCTTCTGCAATGATCGTGGCAACGGTTTGTCTTCACGTTTAAAGCGACAAGAGCAAGGCGCTGCTGAGCCTTTCAACCAAACCTTCGCAGACTCTTCGCAGGCTTCTGTGGAACCTAAATATCCTACATCCACAAGCCTGCATCTCACCTGGCCCTACTTGCCCTTTTCGGTTTAAGCCTCAATAACTTCCCAAACCCACCAAAGAAGAAAGAGTTGAGGCCGGCAGTTTGCTGATTCCGGCGGGGCTCAGCGTGCTGGGGGGCCTCGCCGAGTCCCTCTACAATGTGAAGGCGCTCTTTCCAGGCCACCAAGAGGCGCACCGACGCGCTGTGGGCAGAAAAGATCCTTCCCTTTTGGGGCTTGAAAAAACATTGGTGGGAGGGGGCGGATTTTCCATAAAAAGCGTTTGGGTTTAGGGTTCGGAGTCTCCCGACAGGTTCCGTGGATGCTGGTGATCACCTCTTTCGAGGCACTTCCCATCTATACCGCCTACTTGTCGCTTGGGCGGATCTAGTGGTGAGGGATTGTTGTGGGCTATGCCGCCCGTCTTGCCACTCAGCTCCGACCGAGTCTCCGAGGGCCGTCATACAGCAGTTTGTGGGCAACTGGATCCTGGCGGTCGCCTGCCTCAGCTGCTTCGGCCGGCATTTCTGGCACGTCACAAGTGCAGGCGCTTCGCGCATCCGCCTCGGTAGAACTCCGGTCCATACTCAGGTTGCTTCATTGGCTAAAGCCCAAGGGCCCACTTGGGGCATAAAGCACTTCAAAAGCCCTGGGAGCCCAAGAGTCCCAGGCTTCATCTGCTGGATTGTGCTCCCTGCTCTGACGGGAAGCCTCAGCCTAAAGCTCCGGCCTGGCTACGAAGGCCGCTGGAAGTTCTACCGAAAAGCACCTCGGCATACTCGGTAGATCTTCCCAGCACTTCTCGGCAAGTCACCGTGCCCCATGAATCGTCTGTGTAGTGTATACTGCCCCTCAGGTTTGGGTGGAGTACGGCCTCCGCGTCCCGATCATCATCGCCATTTTTTTCTCCATGAGCGGGTTCATGAGAGACAGGTTCGGTAACGAGTTCCTGCAGGGCCGAAACCCTCTGCCCATGCTGGTGTTCTCTGTGTTGGAGTACTTCGCGCGAAAGACGCTGACGGCAGTAGCTGGAACCGATGCGATGATTTCAGGTTTCCTGCAGTCAGAGTCCTGGCGAGCTGGTTTCACAGACCAAGACAAGACGGTCAATAAGGATCTCAGGGCTCAAGAGTGGTCTCTTTCTGTATCTTTCTTTCTTATACTGCAAAGTAAATGCAAACTCTACGTTCGCGACAGGGACCGGGTTGCCGTTTTCGCTAAGGACCGCTTGGATACCCTCTCGTCCATCATCTTATCCTCCTCCAAGACTCGCGCCTGTGCAATTGCTGATGGGTCGGACGACGTCAAGAACCCACGATCTGGTCAGGAAGACGCTCGGCCGGAGAAGATTTTGCGGATAAGGCATTGCCACATCAGGTCATTGCCACATTGTGGCAGTAGTCATCGAGATTGTGCTAAGAGCGGAAGAATAGCGGACATGTGTAGAATCTAGTGTAGAATGCCCCGTCATACCCCATCCCTTGTCATAGACCCCGTGTGAGGCCATCTCTACGAAGGGCGCCAAGAGCACCGAGTCCCTGGTTGTTTCACCCCACCAAGTCCAGGAAATCCAGGAGCTCCATGAAGTGGAAGTGCACGAGCTGCACGAGGGTCACCAAAGTCACGAGGACGGTGTTAAACACCTCGAGGCCGACTCCCGGCCGTCCGACGTGGGAGACCGAACATTGAATTGAAAAAAGGCCGTGCTGCAAAGCCCTGCAGGGAGAATGCAGATAAGGACCAGCCCACGGCATGTCACATGTTTCAACGAACCAGTGGGTCTACTTGGCATCGGTTGACGCGGGCTGGATGTTAGCAAACAACGTTGCCGTTCGAGGGCAGTGGGCTGCGCCAGGAACTTTTTAGAATATTTTAGAATCTTTGGTTGCATGGAGTGTATCGAAGGATGTTCTTGTCTGTGCTTGCTGTCTCTGCAGCTGCACTGTAGCACAGCAGCCCTCGCAGGATCAAATACAAAGATCACAGCCTGGGCGCACTGCCGAGTTTTTTGCGGCCCTTATAGGTTCTTAGATTCCTAGGTCCTAGATTCCCCTGGCTCCAACATCGAGTGAAAGCGTGAGCCGGGTCCTGAGCCCACTCACCATAGGGTCGGGACTCGTTGTGGCTCAGCCTCGCATGCCCGAAAGGAAAACTAAAGCCTTGTGCGACACTCTGTACATGTCTGTACATGTTTGTACTCCTAAGCTTCCTCGCTTCCTGGATCGCCCAGTGTTGCATAGTGTTGCTCGTTGCAGGGCTTGCCTAGTCAGCTTTCAGGACATGCCCGAAGCGTTGGCAGCGTTGGCACTTGCCAAAATGTCCCCGGCCGTAGCGCGGCGCAAGGGGTGGAGAAGGCTTCAAGCGGTTTGCAGTTCAGCGGTTCAGGTTTTTATATACATTTTTTTGCCGGTGGGGAGGGGAGGGGGCTATGCCTCTTCAGCACTCTCCTGAGCTTGCATCTTAGGCAGCGGCCATTGCCGGCGACCACGTGCAACACCTCATGGCCTGCGCCCCAAGTTCCTCCTTCGAAGTTGAACAGAGGGCGACGATTGTAGGGTTCAGGGTGGGCCTGCGTTCATTTTGCCAAGGTCCGGTTTCAGTGAGTGATTGCGTAGAGCTATTGAGGCACCCTGAGCCCTGAGCACATTACGGACCCGTTCAACCATCCGGCAAGTTTATGAGTCTTTGAAGCCCCTATCTTGCTCTCCACACGGGAGGGCCAGGAGTTCCACGTCTTTCCGGACCGCCCCTGCACATTTTTCAAGCTGTTGAGGTTTTGTTGGGGAGTATTTTGGGGTGCGATCCCGAGAGAAGCATCAGAAGCGTTTCAGGAAAGTTGGGTGCTTGGACCCCCCCTCCATCCCTCTCCGGAAGCGGCTTCCGGGAAGCCCGAAGGCCGCAAGCTTTTAGGCGCAGGCTCAGAGCGCTGCAATGGATGCCGCCCCCCTCAAATCCTCGAAAAAAGAACGGAAAGGAGCAGAGGCAAGCGCTCTTCGACCAGGCCAAGGCCTGCAGTTCTTTGGGCCCTTGAGGCCTTTAGCCACAGAGATGTTCAGAGTTACTGTGTGTACTTACCTGTAGCTTCAGCAACACCTTACCAAAGGCCAAGACTGTGACACGCGGCAGGAAACCATCATCGAAGCACGTTCGGCGCTGCTTGCGCCGGATGCCTCCTCCGGAGCTGCAGCTCGGAGTGCAAGTCGCTCTCTTGCCGTTCTTGTCGTGGCGAAGTTGCATATGCAATCACATGCAGAATGCAGACATATGCAGACCGTAAGAAGAGCTTTATAGTGTTGCCGTGCACATTCCAGACGAGAATCGCTCGTAGGCGAGACTGCAACTAGCGCAACATGCACAATGCAACCCCTCCCTTCACTAGGCACATTTCCCCGTTCAGCTCGCCATTTCAGGATGAGCTTTCCTTGCTTTGAGGCCTCAACGGCGCCAGCTTCGCTGGAGGCGCAGCCAGAAGCCACGCCCCCGGAATTCCCCGGATTCACGCGCAGTGGACCTTGCTCTTGAAAGTGGGCTCTTTTGGTTGCTGCGTTCATCGCGATTTGCTGGTGCCGGTTATCTAGAGCTAACTGTTACAGTGTTACAATTTCTGCCAGAATTATGTCCTCGACCCCTGAGGTGACAGGGCCTGGCGTGCCTGTGGAGGTAGCTTGGACCGCGTTCCTGTAGCAGCACATGAACTGCTAGTTGCATTTTTCACTGCGGCTAGGGAACTTGAGAGGCACGAGGTACTAACTAGCAACTGCTACGGCAGACTCTTCACAAGAGCAGGTCGCACTGCTACTGCGACTTGAGTTGTTTTTTTGTTAATTTCGCGTTGTTGAAGCTGAGTTTTCGTTTGTTGTGAGGCCTCGATGGCGCCAGCTTCCCCTGAGGTGGTGCAGCAGGGAGCCACATCCCTGGACACACATCCTTGCTCTTGAAAGCGTCACTTTTTTGAGGTTGCTGTTACCTTCGTAATTTTGGCTCTGCTACATCTGTGTTTGGAAAAAGTTCCCGAGAAGCAGAGGACGAGACTTTCCTGTTATCAGCCGCAGCTGTTCATGACCTTGCAGGCAGCAGGAAGGATCTTGCATCGAGTGCTTCAATGGTCAAAGTCACGTGCCGGCTTTCATACCCTCAAACCGTCTGCATCTCCAGTGCATGACTCGGATTTGCCGCTCGCCACATGGGAACGTGCCTGGGATGCCCCCTGAGATACCAGCTCTTGGCATCTCGCTTTGAGACAAGGACACCCCGGACTCGTGCCGATCCGGGGATCTTGTTTAGAGGAAGATTTTGTCCTGGGCTGCTATGTTCGCAGCTCACCCTTGCAGCCAACTCAGCCAACGTTTCCTATGCCGCAGTGGGAAAGGCAAGCAAGGTGTCTTACAATTGCCAAGGCCCAGACACGAGCTCTTCACGCTTCATCAAAGGGCTGAGGCTAGCTGGAACAGAGCAGCACGCAGTAAGAAGGAAAACAGTTGTTGGAGGAGTCACGAACCGGAAGGCGGACAGGCGACACGATTGTCTCGCCAAGAAACAATACAAGATCGGGTCCCCGACGCCCAGCACGATTATTAGGCACATGAGGACAAGTCGAAGCTCCAAAAGCAACGACTGTTTGCGATCCCTGAACTCACCCATTGGCCCATAGTCGCCATAGCCCATGAACGCAGTCTGTCGCATCGTGAAGTGACCAGACTTTATGAAAGTAGATGGGATCAATTGGGATCATTTGCCATCATTCGCCCTCAGCTTTCAAGGTGCCAGGGCTTGTCATGGCGGCGTGGGCAGCCTTGTTTGAGTTTACCAACACGTGACCTGCACATGGGTCCATGTTGGTTCCTTAAAGATCGCGGGAGGTCTCTGCAAACTCGGCGTTCAGCGGATGCTTGTAGGTACTGCAACTGCGGCAACGACAAGCACTTCCGATCGTCGGGCACTTCAGTTCGAAGCTGCGGGCACCGTTGCACGACATGGAACCCGGTCACCCTAGCAGTGATGCCACGTGCTGTGAAATCTTGGAAGTTTCTATGTGCGTTCCGTCAGGTCCAGTTCTGAGGCTTGATTGTGCGGACTTGCGCAAGCTCTAGGATTCCGAAAAAGACACGAGTTGAAACAAATAGAATAAAGAGCTTCAAGTTCAAAATTTCAAAATCCTCGAGCTTGCCAGCAAACGGCAATTTCAAGTCCAGCTGCGTGATGGCGGCCTTCTCGAAGACAAGAGACAGGCGCCGGCTTTTGATAATAGCAATAATAATAAGAGTAGTAATAATAGTAATAATAGTAGTAATAGTAATAATAGTAATTATAGTAATCATAGTAATCATAGTAATAATAGTAATAGTAATAATAATAGTACGAATAGTAATCATAGTAATAACAATCAGCACACGTCTTGCAAAGAGCAGGTGCCGGCGCACTGGCTGCTGACTAGGGCCGACTATGTATGGACGGTCACCGTGTTAAAAGCGTGCCAAGCGATCCAAGGCATGGCATCTTTGACCACACGCTCGTCATGCTTGTCGCAAGCGCGAGAGCCGATACAAGTGAACAAGTGCTCAGTATGCAGAGTCACCTTGCTTCCATCGGCCCAAAAAAAGGCACAGCTGTAGCACACGCTTACGCTTGAACGAAGTTTGGCCCCGGCCAGTCACACGCACCCCGGCCATGTTCCGCTTCTTGGTGGTCCTGTCCCTGCTGGGCCTTGGCTCCAGCTTGGTTCTGACCGACAAGACGCAGCCTGCCGTGAACGCCAGCAAGGCGGACGAGACCGTGGCCCTGGCGTCCGAGGAGACGGTGGGTGTGGACAACCCTGAACCGATCAAGAAGACTGCGGAAGAGCTGGCCGAGGACAAGGCAGAGCTTGCGCAGATCGAGAAGCAGGACAAAGAGGGCAACCTGCTCAGCGAGTCTGACCGCAAGGGGCTGGAGGAGACGCTGAAGGATGAGAAGGTGACTGCAAAGTCAGGCTCCGAGTCTGACGAAGAGGCCGACGAGCCTGAGGACGAATCCAGCCCCGAGATCATGGCCCAGGAGAAAGTGGCCGCAGCCGCAGAGGAGGCAGACTCTGACGAGGGCCCCGACAGCGTCCCTGAAGCCGAAGACGAGTCCGAGCCGTCCGAGGCCAAGCCGCCCCAGGCCGCACCAAAGAGCAAGTGATCTCGTGCTCTCGATCTTGTGCAGCTCACTCTAGAGCCTCTGCTCGCGATGGACAAAGTGCGGTGCGGACTCATGCAACATAGCAGCACACTCGACCGAGCTCCTTGCAGGAAGGCTGGTGAGGGAAGTTGCAACTCATGTTCGGTTTCGGCGAGCTGTCTGAGCAAGCATGATGATGCATGCCGCACTGTGTCAGCTCCACCTAGGACTGCACCAGCCGTTTCATGTCCAATGAGCAGCACTTGCGACGACCACTCCACTTAACGACATGACATGGCTTGGGCGCCCTAGCACTTTAACAACTCAGACGTTTTTGAAGCCAATGGCTGTTGGCAAGCAGCCATCATGGGTTCTTGACCTCAGGGCGTGCACATGAGTGCAAGGCCAGTGCGTTCTTTGGAGACTTGCTATGCTGTGCTCGTTTTCGCCGAGGTCAGAACGTCCAGAAAGTGCCAGCGAGGTGCGATGATAAATGAGATGAGACTCTCTGGGCCCAGATAGGATGATAGATAGGATGATGCAGTCAGGCTGATTCTGTTCTATGCAGCCCTTAGATTGTTGAGTCCTTCGCAGGAAGTGATGCTTGACACCTGCCATGGCATGCATGCTGGATGCAACACCCCATCCGTGCGCCGCTGCAGCCAACACCATGCTCACCTGCAGGCAAATGTGGCAGGACTTCGACAAGGACATGGATCCCGCATGAAGGTTGCAGTTCACGACATTCACGAATGTTTGGCCGAAGTGCAGGGCAGCGGGTGGTACCACTACAAGACATGCACCATTGGGCGGCCCTGCCCAGAAGCAGATCTGTCAGCCCGAGGATGGCAGCGGTGTTCTCGACCGAAATGAGGTTGATGCCTTGCTGCCTTCACCTTACACTCCACTGCATCGCAGTGCATCCTCCGTTCCGCTCTGAGAGCGTTTTGCTCCTACCTTTCAAGGAAACACATCTGGAAGACCTACAAGGCTTGGCCCCGAGCAGAACAGCTCTCTCTTCTCTCGATGCTCCTGTTCTCGCCGGATACATTGAGCCACATTGAGTTTCAGGGTAGTCAAGCGCAATCAAGGTTCAAAAGCCGCTTTCTCCCGATGTTGTTAAGAACGTCCTGGAAGAGCTGGACAAGAGCAAGGCAGGAGAGCAAGAGCAGAATCAAGCGTATAAGGCCTACCAAGGTTACCAAGAGTCTCAGGGGCCTTTCGCCAACCCTGAGCAAGCCCCGACGGCCAGATCTCAAAGTTAGACAAAGCTTAGATGTTGTTTTTTCTGCTGCAAGCTGCCATGACCTATTGTGATGACCAAGTACTCGTACCTCGTACCGTTTACAGCCGTGTCAACAATTGGCGGACTCGCGACCACTAAGCAACTCTCAACAGAAGTTCAATCGGCTCATCCCAGAGGAGACAGAGAGGCTCGCGTATGCACAAGAGACTACGGACCACGACTAGGAATCACCATAGCTCGCAGGATGGCAAGATCGTGCAGGCAGAGTTTGAGGCAAGTGGGGATCCTGCTGAAGGGTTGTCTGAATTGAAGCCCGGTACGCCAGCCAGCTGCTGCAACCGTTGCTAGCGGCTGTAGACGTGTCGAGTAAGGCTCCTGTCAGGTAGCCTCAAGTTTCCTGTGACTTGGTCTGCGAGCCTGAAGCAAGGACCTGTACGACGACCTTTGGGAAGAGATGTCGCAGATGTACGTGGCGCCCCTATCCAAAACCGCGCTGCTCGAGGAAGCGCAAGAGCGACTTCACAGCGAAGCTCCTCTCGGGAGCCTCGGGAGCTGTGTTTTAAAGCATGTTTCAGCTGTTGGCCTCTCCGGGCTGAGGCGAACTCTGCGACCCCAGCCAAAGCAGCTGAGTCCGGGGCATCTCGGTTGAAGTCGGGGCGGTCTTGCGTTCCATCAACCCTGAACCCCCTGAGAAAAATGAAGCAAAAACCTACAACCACCCTATACCCATGTAATAGCTAGAGCAAAAACCCTCCTGGTTCCCTAAGCCACCCTGAAGGAAACGTCTGCCACGTCTCAGGCCAAGGCCAGCCCAAAAGGCCTGGGCAGAAGGGTCTCGTGAGCTTCGGATTTCAAGAGCGGGGAACATAATTTCGAGACGTGATCCTGTGGCGCCTGACGTTTAGGCAGGCCACTAAGCCAATTCGTGTGTCGTGGTTCTTGTGAGTTTGAGTGGCTCAAAGTGAAGATCCCGACGATCTGACACAGGTGGATCCAGTCCCAGAGGTGCGATGTGCAGTGGGAGCTTGCCGAGCTAAGCAGACTGGAGCAAGGTTTGTAGGCTCTCGTTGAAGCCTACGTAGGCCTCGAGTGCCTTGTGTAGAGCTTGCCTAGGCGAAGAGCTACCAGGAAGTGGCATAAACGGGTGTAGGGATCGGGGAATCTAGTGTGTAGGCAGAAGTTTCATCGTACATTCATAGGGGGGACCGTGGTGGCAAATATGGCCATAAAGTTCAGAAGGGGTCCATTGCGGAAGAAGGTCCAGTCATGGTCCATGAAAGTGTTATAGAGGTTCAGTGGCGGTCCGATCCAGAGGGTTCCGCGGTCCAAAGTTTAATCAAATTAGGGAGGTCCACAGGCACAAAGGATACCACCACAACAGAAAGGGGGGGGGCGGTTGTTCCCCCCCCACCCGCCCTTGCAGGGGGGGGGCATCTGTAATAGTTAGAGGGAGGTCCGGGGGTCAACAGAATCCAGATGCAAAGGGGGAGGGGGTCCAGACTGGGTCGATAGCGAGTCCATAGGCAGGTCCACAAGTAAAAGTGAGGGATTGGTTCAACGCCAGCGGACATGGGCTTCTGAGCCTGAGCCGACCTCTTACCCTTGCACCGGGCTCTTATTTTTGCTGCCCAGAGGAAAGGCCAGAGAAGGAAAGGCAGCTGAGGTGGGTTGTTTGTACCTCAAACGCCTTAGGCCTGGGGCTGCATCGGATACAACACCAGGAAGTTCTACTCAAGGGCTTTCAAAGGGTTTGGTTGAAGGTTTATCGGGAAGTGACCAGCCTGTCTTCTACAGTGCCCATAACACTAATGAAGAAAGAAGGGCTTAGGGACAATAAGGGGTGAAATGGGATGTTCAGGGCAGAGGTTGTGGGCAACCTTTGGTCATGGTGTATAGCTTAAGGTTCCTGCTCTTTGATCCGCGCAAACAGCAGACTCTACAAGCCCTGTCCCTACACCCAAACACCAAAGCCGACACAACATACAGATCTTGTTCAACTTCTTAACGAGCCCCAAGGTCCAGAAACCCAAAGAGTTGAACAGCCTAGTTTGGCCAGGTGCCAAGACACCGCCACAGCCGGCACCGCCCAAGGCTGTCCGGCACAGCAGTCCCAAAGCCAAGGCAGGGGAGCCAAGTCGGCTTAGCAGCTTGGGCTTGTGGGCGCTGATAGCTAGTCACCAGAGCTTTGACTGGGGTCTTCCGCCGCGAATATGGATCTGTATGCACAGTGGGAGTGTGGCTGTCATGGCCATGCCTCCCGCATGGGCATGAATCTTGGCAGGTCCCGAACAACATCCGGTGCCCTCACTGCGCCTTTGAAATTGATCCGCGTCAGCTACACAGGCACCCGGGCGTGGGCATCAGGCATGGTAAGGCACGAGAAATCACGTAGGGACACTTCGCTTGGCAGGCTGAAAGTGCCGCCGGAGGCTCACCCTCACGTCAAGACCCAGTGCTGGATGGCATTAAAGTTTCTCACTGACAAAGAGACAGCGCTGCATAAGCTGTTGGTATGCTTGCGTGGAACAAGCTCGACACTCCGTGTGAAGGCGCTGGGCGTCGTTCCAGGTCCCTGGCAGAGGCCTGATGGAGGCGTGGCCTCAGAGGAAGCTTGGGCTTGGGCTTCATTTTCCGACATGAGCACTACTTGCGAAGGAGGCTACCAGACTCCTGCTGCCATCGCAGTTGCTGGCCTCAGCAAGTTGTAGAATGTGCGACACGTGGTTTGCACAAGTCTTGAGAAGTGTGAGAGCATGTGAGAGCCTTGGGCCTTGCAAACCCATCGTAGGCAGGCTTTTCCTAACGTGTGCGCTCGTGACGACTAACTAGCTCCTGCTCCTGTGTGCACATCAGGGACATTGCCACCTTCGACTTATACGTATGATGCCGCCACTTTTCCGGAAGCTAAGAATTTCGTGTTTGTGCAAAGCTTTGGAAAGAAACAGGGCTCTCTACGCCCGGCTTCGGAAGTTGCCCGTGTTTCGTGCACCTCTCGGAGGCTCTGGCTCGCCTTTGGTGTACGTTAGCCCTCCACCTACGCCCACCTACACCTCCACGACCAACTCCCAATCAAGGTTGACATGGATGTCCCCCATGGGCATCCCATGGGCTCTGCAACTCGCACAGAAAGCATTGCAAAACGTCACCTGGCATCCCTGCAGGATTTCCTGAGGGAAGTTCCGCTGTAGAGATGGACACTCTGGGGAGGTTTTTCAGGCTAAAGCTGAAAAGCCTGAAAAGCCCATGCTTCACTTCCATGAGCCTTTCCCATCTTGAGCACCCCAAGTTTTGGACAGGGGTAGGTTGCGGCTCCCTCCTCGCTCGAGCACCGACAAAACGGTTGCCAGGCAGCTGTCTCGGGAGCAGCTTTGCTCCCGGATTGCCTGTTCCATACACAGGGTTAACACGGTCTGGGACGCAGACCGACCTGCAAACTCCTCGCGCTCAGAGGAGCTAGCATAGGTGTCCTGACTCTCTTCCTTGGCGCTTTGCTTGGCTGAATCTGATGTTGGCTCCTGCCACTCTGCAGCAACTCCTGCTCATGCTGCCATCGGTCTTGTGGTGCAAAAATCAAGCTCCCCGTCTTTTCGAGGGATTTCTGCTTGCCTCAACCAGCTTCTTGCACCAGTATGCAAAGTGGACAACCTCTTCCGGGTACCTACCCTCAAAGCCAAAGCCGATAGCATCAACCCGCGTATCCGAAGCAGTGAACTGCTGCGCTGGTTTGCACGCCCCACTTCGCCTTGAAGGAGCCTCTCTGTCTGCAAGCACGTCTTTCCGGGGCGGTCTTATCCCATGCGAAGAAAGAGTTCTAGTGCATCCACCATCCGTTGTTTGACCAACAGGCTCCTCCTGACTATAGTGTCTGTTGACATGATGGTGTCCCGGGGCCTCAGCTCGGTTGAGCGCCGCTGCGAGCTCGTCGTAAGCAGCATGCAGGTGCTGCACAGCAGCATTCGTGGCGCCATCTTGGCCCCCCGTTGTCGCCCAACATCTGTGGTGGTGCGGGGTGCTCCCTACGAGGACAGCCAAATCTTGAGCCACCGGGAATTTCTTCTCCCACCCAATGCCACCAAAATTTCCTCAGCTTCTTGAGTCTTGAGTCTGCAAATGCAAGCCGGGAATGGGGTCCGTCCTGTACCGAAACCAAAGATTTCTTTGCAGATGTTAATCAGTTGATCGACGTTCATCGACCCCACAATGCCGCTGCCAGAGAAGCAGCTGGAAAACAGATCGCACTCCGCATGTCGAGGATGCAGGTTTCCTTCGCGTGAGAGAGAGCTGCTTTGCCATGAACCAAGGCACCGCCCCTACCGCCGGGAACCACGCTCCACGGCCAGGCAGCAAAACACCACCAGGGCTTCAGCCTGCAGGGGAAGGGGTGTAAGGGGGTGTTCAGGGTGTGGCATCACAGCGTTCTGGCAGGGTGTAGGCAGTGGTATGAGTAAGGGCCGCTGCACATCTCGAACACAGAGTGGTCAGCCTGGTTCAGGTGCCTTCCTCTTTCTTCCATTCGTCGCATGGCTGCCTGCTCAGAGCCCTTGTGTTTCTCAGTGTGTCTATCTACCTCGCGACGTTTGGTGTCGTGTAACGTGACATCGTGTGCCACAGTGGCATAGTCGACATTTGCAAACTTGGCGATCATGCTCTTTTTCTGTTGAATCGTGGCACCGATGAATCCCATGTAGGTGCACAATAAAGACATGAAATAGTTACATCAATTGTGATCTGCAGCAGTTTATCCATTGATCATACGGGTCAGTATCTTTGCAAGACTTTCTTCCTCGCCTAATTTGTGGCGCATAGATTGTTGCAGTGCATGAAACTGGTGTAAAAGGTATTTGCCATTTTCAGCTTCTTTTTCTGCTTCAGATTGTCAGCATCCGATTTAGATTCACGTCGTTACAGAAGGTTCCATCTCATCCAGCGTTGTATCTGTTATTCGTGTTTGACTGGAATCTTGCGCAGCCGTCTCCCCATCAGTTGTCAACTATCTGCGCAGCAACCCGCAAATCAGCTCAGGCTGGTGGGCGCAACCATCCGGTTCCAGTCCATGAGACAGACCTCTCGGGCTCGTTTCATGACGTCTCTATCGCAGGAGGTTTTGGCCTGCGAGGAGCAAACACAGACGTGATGACACGTTGAATCTTTGGGAGAGATGTAGTGCAGATGCAGGGGCCCTTGCTGGCTTCCAGCGAAGTGGTTCGCTCCACGCCTTTAGATTGGGCTGTGACGGTCCGGTTCGGTTCACAGAAGAAAGATTACGGTTCCCTGTTATCCCTGTTATGATGGCTGCCGCACCCCACCACCCCAACCCCAATCGCCCCAAGTCTATGTGGCATTACAAGTTTCTGGGGCATGATTTTTTTCCGGGCGCCATAGGTTTGGACGAAAACTGCGAGGCAACTCTTATCCTTGCATGCGTCTTAAAGCCATATGGGTGGTTGTCAATTTATTATCCCGTTTAGGGTACCCCAAGCATTAGGTGCCGTATTATAATAGGGACCCAATAAAGGACCATGATTTTGACAACCACCCATATGGAGTCGAACGCGAGCACACTATGCACCCCCACTCCACCCAACATAAGGACCCCACATGAGCATCAAATGGAAGATGAGAGGCTGTGACACGCCTGTATGTCCTGCCGTGGCCCATACAGGCTCAGGATCACGCCCAGCCTTGCACTGGGCAGGTTAGTGTTCTGTTTCTTTTTCGCAGTTGGCATGACGGCGAGTCAATCACCGGCTGCCTGGGGCTTGGTGCATGAGGCATTTGAGAGAGAATTTAATTGAGATAATTGCAAGAGCCTCCAGCATTGCATGATTGGTTCCCCCCCCCCCCCCCCCCACATCCCCACATCTCGCAATGAGTTTCATTGCCTCCTCGTCTGGGATATCATTGATACATTTCTACTCGAAGCACAGGTCTAGGGTTGGGTGTACTAACTTTTGCCCACCAAGGCAGCAGGTTGCCACCAGCTCCTTCCAAGGAATGCCGGCTGCTTGATCAAGCAAACTAGGCTCGTCTGTTGAAGTGGCCCACATCCTATGTTTTTTTTCTCCGCCAGGGTCTGATTGCCGACAAGAAGCCTGTAGCAACTAGCTTGGTTTGGCCTCATTCCTGAAAGTCTTGTCATGCAAAGTCCAGCCTTTGTGCCTAGCTGAGGTTCGAGCATGACGCAGTGGTTGATAGTTGGGGTGCTCGTAAAGAGGCACCTCAAGCACCCCACTGCCGAAAGGGCCGACAGGGGGCTTGCTCAGAGAAGTCAGAGAAGGGATCCCCAAGCCTTGTGCAGGACGAGGTATGGGCTCCTGCGTTCTTTTCTCACGATGTGTCGGTTCGCTTAGGACAGGTTCGTGCACATGCTGTTGAAACGCATCTCAGCAGCTCTCACTCAGACATCTGCTAAGTGGCTCTCCAAATCATTCCAGCCGATAGGATCTCAGCAATCACGGACACTCGTCGCTCCTATCCAACAACCAGGCTAACTGGCATGGCTCAGCTTACACACATGTAAAGACTTCAAGTCCTTGCATCACACACTGACGTGTGGACGTTGGTGGACCAGAGAGTTTGATGCACTGATGCATGTTCTGCTCCCGCACGGTGCTTACCGCCCATGGACCTACTTTGTTGTGGGTCGTGCTCAAGCTCTGCCAAAAAGGATGGCAAGAGTTCGGTGGCATCTTCCATTTGTATGGCAGGCAGACAGCCGACCAGAGTCAACACAGCACAAGAGGCGAAGTGACAGCAGCATGACTTACAGGATGTCGGATAGTTGCCAAGTTTGGGGCGTAAGCTTCCGGCCAAAGCTAAGGCTGCCAGCATGCGGTCAACCTTCTTCTAAGACTTTGCTTGCTTACTAAAGACGTGCTACTTTCACGTAGGTCCGGTTGAAATGCCAATGCATCGTCAGTGCATAGCCAGCTGTTGGCACCGAAGGGGTCCCAAAAGAGGGCCAAGCAAATCACGCAGAGTGCAAAACTGCTCCTGGAGCCAAGAGTGAAGCCCAAGGCCTGCTAGCTTCAAGCATGCCCGGAGCGACGCGGATCCGTAAGAGCTGCGTCTGTACACTGTGCCAGAGCTAAAGAAACTGCCAGAATCGAAGCCAAAACGTCTGCTGCTACTCGCTTACTAAAGTGATCTAAAATCTAACACGGCGGCTTTCCTTCACACAGGCCCACACCGCCCGTGCTTCTCTGCGCATCCCCAGGAAAGCTAGCTTGCGCGCATGGCTCCTCCCGTCTACGACCGACACAACTCAACTCAGCTCAACCATGAAGCTGGACGCTTATCTGCCTGAGCATTCCCTGTCTTTGAAGTTGCGGGTCGGTTGTCACCTGCCGTCTTTCCGAGATCGATGTGCTTCTCCTTGGTCATGGTCAGGTGCTCGTGTAGTTGACGTCGAGGCCATTCTGCAGATGTTGCGTTCGTGCTTGTGGCAGACATGGCCGCCACTTGCGGGTCCATTTCCGGCCATGTTTCTAAGGTTCTCGCGTGCACAGTCTCTGCCAGGTCCAGTCCCTGCACCAACAGCATGCTGGTCAGGACATGAAGGCGTTGCGGAGGTGAGCACCACATCCTCACGAGCTGCAAACACTGCTCCGGCACATTGGCGACAATTTCGGTTTCCTTGAAGCCATGTACGCCGACTGTCAGAACTTCACGTCACTCTACCCGTGCTCTCTGGTGCTTGAGACCTATTCAGTGGCACGCCCATGCTATGCACTTACTTGCTCAAGAACTTGTGTGCAAAGGCTTGTGGTTGAATACTGCACTTCTCTACATAGTGGTCCCTTTTCAAGTCCTGGTTAGCAGGCGGAGGCCCCTACTTTTAGGGCACCCAAAAAGGGACCAGAAGTTTGAGGTATTTTGAGAACTGACCATGTATTTCGCGTGTCGATGCCGCCTTCGTTTCTGCTTCTCAAGCATGTAAATCCTCGGTCAATGCCCCCGATGGCATACCCTGCGACTAGAAGCACGTCAACAGTACGTCTCACTTGTCTCGGCTACGCCATCTTCCGAATGCCCTGGACCCGCCATCATTTCGTGTATATCCCAATGCAAACTTTGGTCAAGCTGCAGACCGCAGAAACGAAGCCATGTTCCCATAATAATGTTCTTTCTGAGAGGTGCTGTAGAATGTAAGTTTGGGTTGAGAGGTGGGACAGAGCGGGCTGTTTTGGCATGTTTTGGCATTCAGCTCAGCAGCGAGCGCATGACCCTGCAGTGCTGGGCAGGCTGCCGGAACCTCGGGCGTGCCTTGCGCAACCTCGGGTGCCCTTTGCGTCTACGTGTCTACTCCACTTACCTGCACTTCTGATCGGTTCAAGTCGTCTCCGTTGAGGGTCGTCTCAAGAAACTGAGGATTCGGTCCTGTTTTCGAATCCACACAGCATTTATTAAGTGAGGCCTTCACCCACAGCGTTTGCTTGTCAAGCCCAGTGCACCTGGGTTCGGGTCTGTCTGCTGAGCTTGGTACCCAGCGCAAATCCAAAGCTGCCCAGAGCTCCGACCCGGACGTCATAAACCTGCCCATTGAATATTTGCGGATATTTGATCGCTGCCTGGCTGTTATTGCATGTTCGCACTGGCCTCGCTGAACCTCGCACACCCTTCGCACCGAGACTGCCGCTTCCCGGCATCCATACCATTGAAGCACTACGAAGCAAACGTGGCTATCGGGTCTCTGCTTTTGGCTGGACGAATCCATCTGCCCCTGGAGTGTGTTTCAACCACGCTTCGACCCGCCGCTGTAATACGCAGGTCTAAACGCACTCTCCACACCTCTCGAGGCATTCCATCAAAAACGCAACTACACAAGATGGCCATGTGCTGATTACTGCGGATTGTGTCTCCTTGTTGGGCTGACATAACGCCCACTGGGGCGACTTCGTTCCTACTCCTGTGCCACTGGGGTTTGAGTGCCTTTACGCAAGTTGGGTGACATAAACGCAATGACCTAATGCTGACAACATGGCTGATTCGTCCTTGGGATTCCCTGACAGCACCCGGGCAAGCGCACGTGGATTGTTTACACCGGCATTCAATCGAAACGACTCTGAGGATCTCTGAGGGTAGTCAGGGGCAAATTCAAGGGACCCGTCCAAAGGGCAATCACCATGTGAACCTTGGACAAATTTCGTTTAAGCCCGCTGGCCTTCGTCGAACCCTCGCGCCTTCGTCGAAGCTTCTCCCCCCTTCGCCGAGGGTTCGGGGTTCGTCGACCCCGCTGGGGGGCATTTTGAGAGGTGCGAAGTGAAGAACATCAGGCTCGGCAAGCGCAGCTTCGTAAACCCTTCTCTTGCCTTCGTCGAAGTCGCCTGACTTCGCCGAGGTTCGTTTTGGATGTTTTGGGCTTGCAAGGCTCGCCCAAGGTCGGCTGGGGGCCTTTGGGGGTGTCCCTTCTCGGCCCCTAGGTAGTTGGGCTGGCAAACCAGTCCCGAGTCCTATGCACGCCATGTAGTCCTCAGAAAGGGAGCACCTGTCCATCAGGTGGGCGTCGTGGTATTCGGTCCTTGGGCACAAGCTTCTGTTGAGCTTAGCACAGACAGCCACGTGCTTGTGGCGCCCATATATAGTCCATATAGTCCTGCTGTGAAAAGGGATCAAGCCTGCTCGGACGCGATTTCCCAGACAAAAGTAGAAGAAATCGCTGTGAAAGAGCAGATCTACCGTAATCAATGGTGTTGCTCGTTGTGATGAGCCAGCTCACAACAACAAGACCACGCGCAGTGAGAAGCAGAGCTCTTTTGCACGAGCTCTTATGAAGCTCGCATCACATTTGCCGACGTTTTTGTGAAGGTGGACCGCTCAAGTTACGAGTTGGGTGAGGCTCCTTGCAACTTAGCTGCTCGTAGACCTCCCAGTGTCACTTCGGCCCTTCGCGTTGATTTCACTTTAAGCTGTTTGAGCTCTGCGCATCGACAAAGCCCCCTCGAGAAGAGGCTTCCAGGCACTTCTATGCAGGACTCACAAGGCACACATATGCCAGGTATCATGCACTCAGGCATTGCGACCTAGAGATGACATTGCTGACACCTAGCCCAGTCTA